AGAGAAACACATTATTCAAAAGAGTGAAGATATTTTTCCCACTGAAATGGTGTCTAAATTCTATAGAAAATCTCAGTGGGTTAAGTTCTGTGTAAACAATATAAAAAAGTGAACCACTTTGTTTCATTCCTAAAGCACACTTGAGCAAATGCCACTGAACAGCAGCTAGAATTCAGCAATATACTATGTTGATTAAAATCTAAATAGGAAAGCTCAGCAACTAGAGGGTCCTGGGCTGAACTCAGACTTCTAAAAGGCATTCTCTGCATTTTGGGGTGTCAGGTTAGAAAGCGGAATAGAGAAAAGTAGCATCTATAGGAAAAGAGCTTGCTAACAGGCTACTTGAAGGTAGGGAAAGTGTAACGGGAGTTAGCTGCTGCCAACACCTCATTGCTATGAAAACTAGCAATAAAGCAAAAGTGTATAATATAGTAGAGATAGGGGAGGCATGGCCTCCAGATGCTATCAAACTGCTTCTTCCATTTTCCCTCACCCTAATGGCTAATGAGACTTAGAATTCAGCAACATCTGGAAGTTCAAATATTCCCAATGCCTATAGTTCAGTGTCCTAATAGAAAATCCTGTGCTGAAAGGAATAATCAGATGGCATGAGCAAGCTAATGGTGTTACAAATAGGATTTAAACTTCCAGGATCATGAGTGATCTTGCATCAAATAACAGTGTCTGTTTCTAGGAAGAAACTAGTAGTTGAACAGTCCATCCTTCTACAACCTGGTGCATGTTTTGCACTACAACTCTCAGCATGCCTGATCTTCAGCCATTTTGGCTAGAGATGGTAATTAAAGTTCAAAATCTGTGGAGGGCACCAGGTTGGCGAAGCCTGGAATGCACTCTAACAAGTGAATGTACTGTCTGTCATCTTGTATAATAGCAATAGCAGCAGCAGCAACATCTAATTGACTGTTAACTTCAGTTTCATACCTTGGGTGGAGGTAGGATGCTAATATTCTATAGAGAGAAACTGATGGAGAAGAAAAATTTTGCAACATGCATCAGTTTTTGGCTCCAACATTAGTTCTAACTAATTAGTTCTCCAACTGGCAGTTTCCATGTTGTTATAGATTTTTTCATTTTACATCAATAGAGAAACACCCCCCCATTCTTCTTACTATTACTATCACTGAAATGACTCCAGGACAGCATTTTTTGCACACAGATGCTTAATGTAACTACTGTTTCCCTTCATTTTCAGACATTAATGTAATGAAAAATGCTAAGCACAGTTTGCTAATCACTATCCATTGCAAATGAAGATATAAGTAATCAGGCTTTTATGATGGTTCCATTTTTTATATAACACATTTATATTACAGATGCCTGGACAAATTTTACTATGTTGCCATTTTATTGATTCTTAAATAGGGAAGCTATCCAACTTCTGACTGCTTCTCATGGGGAGACTAATTAGATTATTTGATCATCTGGTTCATCAGAGTAGGAAATACTTAAGTGTCACAGCTGGTCTCTGAATCAACATCTTGCTCCATGATTTTTAAATGAAAACAATTATATCTTTACTGGGAAGAGATATAAATGACTGGACAGTAAAAATGATCTAAGTAAGAAATAACATCCTATAGTGCTTGCATAGGGAACCTTAACATCTGCAGTGCCTCTGAATTTATTTACAATCATTCTTCTTTTTCATTTCAGTTCAAAGAGGTTTCTTTGCAACAAAGAGCTCCTTGCGAATCAGACACCTAATTAGGTTGCCTGTAAAAACCTAAGGCTGACATTTCAGGAATCAGAAACAGGCAAGTTCTTAATTTTAACGGAGCCCCCAACATCTGTTCCTGAGGTAACCTTTCCAAATGGAGTACTTGTTGCTACAAATTGCTCTGCCAATGAGATTTTTAAAGAGAGGGAGGAAATGACATCAGTCTAGTGAACTGGTTTTGTTTGTCTGACCATCCTGACCATTATGCTATTAGATTTTTTGAAGCCCTCCTCCAAGTGCAACACTTGACAAGGCAAGGAATGTTATCTCCAGGTCAGTGTAGAGAGGATTTGAATTAGTATTAAGCTGTGGGAAAGAGAAGTTGATAACTGGAGTGCATAACTGGTGTCACCTGGCCCTGCCACTGGTGTGGAGAGAAAGAAATGTCAGAAAAAGAAAAACAATATAGTAATGCCAGCTTGGATTCTATTGGGAAATAGCTGTACTCTGAAATGGTTGCAGATTGAGGCTGGAGCTGTTTCCGTTAAAGGAAAGAAAGGTTAGAGGCTTCTTTAGATGTGGATAGGAAGAAGGTAGATTTCCAGATATTTTGCACTTTTAACTCTCAGAAGATCCGGTCAGCATAGCTAGTGGTCAGGAAAGCTGCAATTTAAAACCCAAAACTTCTAGAGACCCGCTTTCTGCTCAGCCCTGCTCTAGATAATGGAGACAGAGAGGACCACTTCATCTCCCTAGTTTGACGCTTCTTCCATTAACCAGTTCAACCCATAGCAGACTTAGAGAGAAGCCATCCTATCTTGGCTTTCAGGCAACTTTCAGCTTCTGCCAACATCTGTTGTGAAAAGGTGAAATCACTGACAGGATTTGACCTAGCTATCTTTGCAGCATGCCCCTTCAAACACGTCTGTTAAGAGCAGCTGACATTTTGCAGCTGTAGCAGGCTGAGAGGATCATGTGAAGAGGACCTTAGTGGAGCATTAGATATGATGATCTCTAAACTTCTGATTATGCTATTCATTTGCTATATTACTGAATTTAAATTGGAGGCACCCTTTGCTTTTAAATATCTCCCTTAGCCCAAAATATACTTTAGAAATGCCTTTGTGGCACATTAATATTCATATTAATATAAATACAATTTCAACAATGTATTAAGAGGATACTGTGAATTTTATAGAATACTTACCTTTTAATATTTCGTAAATTCTAGTGTTAAATATTTGTTCCACTAAGATTTTGGTGGGCTTGAGTTGGAACTAATGCTGACAATACTAATGCTTTCCTGTACAATGTAGCAGCTGAGAATGTTGGGCACTGGCCAGGGAGATGTGGGTGCAAATTCCTGGTCAACCACCAGTCAGGCTAATCTAGGGTTGTTGTGAGGATACAAATGTGGCCGTGCACATGTATGTACTCCTTGAAGGAAATGGGGGATATTATCATCCACAATCATTGCTACTAATGTTTAGACTTCCATAACTGTCTGGTTTTGCCTTTCTGAGCACAATCAAATGTGTAGTCCCTGTGCTGAAATGCAGCAAAACTTCTTGAACTCAGGCAAGGCTGCTCTGGGAGTACCTCCTGATTGGAAGCAGGCATGCCCAAATTGGTGTGTCATACACAGATGGATCAGTGAGCTCCTGTCATGGCCAGTCATTTTGCATAGGAGCTTTTATGAAGGTAGTAAGCTCGTCTGCATGAGTTCCTATGAGGCTTGGTCATTTTGCAAAGTCTATGCATAACTGAGAAATTCAGTAGCTACTGAGGCAGATACAGGATGGAACCATCTAGGGACTTCAGAATCTGCCCCTGCACATGCATGCACACACACACTGAGCCAAGCGACTCATTATACTAATCACATACATGGTGGGAGGTTTAAGACAGATAAAAGTATTTCTTCACACAGTGTGTAGTTAAACTGTGAAATGCACTGCCAGGGGACGTAGTGGTGGCCACCAAGCTGAAGAGCTTTAAAAGGGGATTGATACATGAGGGAGGGGGCAATCAGTGGCTACTAGCCTTGCAGGTGAAGTGCTATCCTCTTTCATCATGCCCCAGTGGCTGAGGAGCTGGGCAGGAGGAAGTCTTGCAACAATCCTGCCTGAGGGATCCTGTGGACAGCTGCTTGCCACTGTGCAGGACCAGATGGACCTTAGGCCTGATCCAGCATGGCCTTTCTTATGTTCTTATACTTTATGCTCATAATGCACTGCTGAAGCTTTTTAAAATCCTAGTATAAGCATGTGTCCCCCCCATTCAGGCTGGAACCTCTGCGCTCATGGTGAGGAAGATTTTAAAAAGTAAAACTTTTCTTCACTGGAGTTGCTCCATGGCTAGAATTTTTTTGGTAAGGGGAGATTTAACACGGGGCCCCGTCTGAATTAGTAGCTGCATGTGCTTACACAAAGGTAAATTTAATCATCCGGTCTGGGTAAATGCTACCTAATTAGTGCAACCTGTAGTATGGCCTTGAGGAACACAGTGTAGCCTCCCCTTGCTGACAATGTGCCAAAAGTCCCCTTCACCTGTGTGTTTGACAAGCATGTGAAGGTGTGAGGGTGCATATATTGATGGCACCAGGTAAAGCTAGTTGCCCAGCACATATTCTCTCATTGTGTGTGAAGGGGCATGTAATCTCATCCCACCTGAGGAGACATGCTACAGGCTCACAGAAGCCTTAACAACTTAATTTATTTTGCACAGCACACTAAAGGGCCTCTGCCTGCACTTTTATTCTCTCTAGAAAGTCAAGGAAGCCTGTTCAAGCCATGCACATGACTTAGAAGATCAGTAAGATGAGTCATCATTATCATGAGCCTTCTCTGAGCAACATGAATAAGTATAGCATGTATCTTCCACACTCCCTCTATTAATAATGACTTCTAAAGCCCAATTTGTATTTCACATGTGTCTTGAAATGATGGCTGGAGGGTGATAATGAGCATGAGGAAGTTAAAGCCTTTGTTATCGCCTGAATAATATTGTAATGTCACAGGTAAGCCTTTTCCTCTTCAAATTGTGACCTTTATCCTTAACACTGAGCTCAGCTGCAGGCAAGGTAAGTTGCACAAGAACAACTGAGCATACATAGGTACTTTCTTTTTGCATCCAATTTAATCTCCTTAAACTGAGGCCCCTCTTGGGGTTTCTGGGAGAATTCTGTGTGACTTTAAGTTCATTGTTTGGCTCCATTAATTTATCTGTTCCAGAACTATTTCAAGAAAGCATTACCAGTCATATTTTTGCTTATTATACTCTAAAAATAAGTAAAGGTCATATGCTAATTTGACATTTTAAAATTAAACTTGATTCTTCATTTTCTCTTTTTAAAAAGTTTGATCAGAACATTGAGATTATTTAAGTATGAATCTCACTGTTGCCTTTTCTAATAGCAGACAACTGGCAGAGTTCCAGACTAGCTTTCACATCAAGACCTCCAATTATAAAAATTAAATACCATCACCCATTGCATATTAAGAGTCTAGGACTGGGCCCTCCAAATGTTGTTACACTGCAATTCTCAACAGGCCTAACCACCAGTCAATGGTGGAAGATGATGAGAGTTGCAATCCACTATCTGGAGGACCACATGTTCCTCATCTCTGCTATAGTAATTTGAAACACAGTCCTACACATGTCTACTCAGAATTCAATGGGGCTTACACCCAGATTTGAGTGTTGCACCCAAATAAAACCCAATGGTGGTGGTTTTTAAACTTTTTATCCTATGCACTTTAACCTTGAAGTTCAATAGTAGGTGTGTTAGGGTTGCTGCTTTATTGCAATTTTATATTGTGAGCTATCTAGATTGGGTAAGGATACAGTATCAAAATCCAGTACTTCTGAATATAGTTCCCTTATTTAATCTGTTCACCCTTGAAATGAGGAAAAACCAGCTTACCATGATTAAGTGTTGCTCTTCTGGGTGTACAAGAGGTTGTGCGCATGTCTGCGTGCCTGTTGGTGTTCTGCTGCTTTAGCCAAAAAGCTAAATAGTGCCTCAAAACATTCACAGTGTATTTAAAAATTTAACAGCATACTGAGTTTATCTAATTTGTAGTACAGTGAGATTTATTCTGTTTTTAAATAATGGTTTCTTCTTAGGATATTCTTTTTCTTTCTGTCTTGCATACAAATTTATGATAATTTTCATTAGAGGGCTTTTGAAAAAATGAAACCCTATGGGAAGAGAAAAACATATACAATGTATCATTCTAAAAATAAATTATTGCAGTAACCATAGGTATAAAACCCATCTTTTTAAGGACAGCAAGAAGAATACATATTCAGTGAAATTCAAGACCTTTACATCAGAGCAAAGAAATCATTAAAATAAAGAGGTGGGCTTCAATCCAATTAAAGTTCTACTGGAATCAATAAATCAGTTTAGTCACAACTATTCCTTTCAGTGTAACATAATCACATTTGACTTTCACTGAATTAGGATAATAATCTTTTGTCTTTTTAAAATGTGTGTAATGAGTTCCATCCATCTTGTAGTTAGGAAATGTGTGAATCAAGAAAACCTAATCTCTCTGAAGTTCTCCATCTCAAACCTCATTCTGATTTACATCTGCATACATGTGTATTTTCATGTGTTTTTTCATATGCACATTTTGACAGATGTATGCATAAACTGGATACATTTTTCCCCCGAAGTACAGAATGCCCATGGCCATTTTCAAAACGTATCTTTTCAAGTTCATTGTTTTAGTCCACATTTTTACATTGCATGTTCAGAAATGTATATATTTGATTTCATATTCTGAATCCAAACACAATTTGTAAACTGGGTAAATCCTAGTCAAAACCAAACTGAAACTAATTGCTCATCCATCACATATGGGTATGCTTACATATTCATATACAATATGAACTCTCTGAACTGCACCCTTTCTGCAAATCAATGTTGGAATCAGCCAAGGAACATGCTTTACTCATTCAAAATGCATTAATGCTCTCTTTTGTTATACACGTCACTCTAAGTGACATCCACACATAATGCCAATGCACATTTAAGGTTCTGTTGCTCCTGCTGCCTGACACCACGGTTGAGTGGTGAGAGAGCTTCAGCACTGAGCAGAGAAAGAAAGGGGAATGGTTGCCACACCTGCATTGGCAGAGTGGAGTCAGAAATGAGGCAGGGCTGCATGTTTATAACCAGCCAGTGCACAGGGCATTGCCCATTTGGTGCTAGTTCAATGTTGGTTGGGGTGTTGGGTTTTCTACTAGGGTTATTGTGGGCCTATTGTTGTTACTTTATTTTTTATTCTAGTGCATTGTTTTTACTGTGTATTTTGAAATGAATTTGTACACCACCAAGAGAGCCCAATGGGCTATAGGGCAATACAGAAATGTAATACAACAATAATAAAGGCCTAGAACCCAACTTTGAAGGGCAAGCCTCGATTTTGACGGCTGGGAGAAATGACTACTTTCCCACAAGAGGAAAGAAAGAATGCATTTTGCTGCAGGAAAGGACCGATATGGATCTAGTTATAACAGGAACAAATTTTGCATCTAAAAGTAGCACCAAAATGCTACTGCAACAATTTCAAAAATATATTGAGTTCTAGTTTATTCATACTGCTTCCCAGATGCAGTACTAATGCCAAAGATGAATTTCAGAAAGACCAAAATAAAAATCCCCACAGTATGTTATTAGTCTCTTCTATTCTGCAAAGTCCTGAAGTAATCCATGTGCTGGAATTTGAGGACTTCATTGCCCCAGCTGGTCCATCCAGGATGCAAATTCCGAGCAAACAACTCCAAACATTCCACATCTGGTTTGGTATATCCTTTCAGAATCTCTGGAATTCAGGGAAGAAAAGAGGTGGTTGGGAACAAGTTGATGAAGCAGTAAAATTATTTTTAAACCCAATTTCCTTTAAGCTGGAACAATGAGGGTAGAAGGAACTAGAATTTTTTTTTTAAAGAAGCAAATTAATTTCAAGAATTCTATCAGCCAGTTTTAATATTTATAGTCAGAACAGCATATGAAATAAATGGCCTTGAAAGTACAAATGATACTGTTAAAGCTCACAGTGAGTATGATTTATTAGTATTCTTTTGGAGACAGGGAACAAAGATTTCAGCACCTCCATAGATGACCTTTGAGTTTTTAATATTGTCACCATAATATCTCTTGATAAGGACTGATCAATATGTGGATTGCTATGTTTAAAGTATATTTTAAAATTTCCTTCTTGGAATTGAAAACTGCAGTTTAAAAATAGAAATTTAATACTGTAAGCCAAGACATTTCAAGTACAAATTCATTTCAGTGATTACCTACTTTCAAGTAACAGTGTTTACAGCCCAACTCTTGGAATGTTTAATCAGAAATAAGTCACACTTATTTCAATGTGACTAATTGCCTGTGAACTTCAGACTGCAACCACAAACATGAAGGTTTAGTAGTTTTCTTCATATGCTAGTTAAATTGCTTTCATTTCCTTCTGAGAATCCCTGGAGATGATAGTTTATTAAGCATACTACAGATCCCTCAAAGAACTTGACTTCCTAGGTTTCTTTAGGAATAAACTACTATTTAAATCTATTTTATACTGGAGTAAGTTGTGCACTTAAGTGCTTAAATACAGCAACTGTATATATTTAAAAATACATTCTGTAACACTTCTTTAAAAATGTTTCCCACCACAACTAAACTCTGTTCAAGTACAGCCCTTAGAATACCCTGTAGTCATTGAGTATTTTGGCACCAATTCAACAAACTTTCAACTAGAAATTTCAATAGTATATATAGATCACAGTTACAATGGTCATTACCTTATATAGAAAGAAACAGTTATTGAAATAAGTCCTATTAAAAACTGAAGACATGCCAATATATTCCTATGTCTATTTAGATTTCTTTCTAAATCTAGTTTTATTCTTTCTTTGCCACAATTTTTTCTGTGTCCTTAAAGTCTGGATAGCAGGGATAAATTTCTTGGTGTTCCTTTGCTATAACTGAACTGTGCCCTTCTAGGAAAAGTCACCAGTTGAATTTCATCCTATCCTACATTTGTGAAAGGCAGAGAAACTACCAGGAAAAGGTGGTAAGTTTAATGTAGCACATAAGATAAAAATCAGAATGCAGAGTTCAGCCTTACCAAGGTGCTCTTAAAGTTCACAATGTTTGCCTCTGTTGCAATCCATCATCCACTATAAGCATGATCTATCACAACTTCAGGAAATACTCACATTATCAAAAGCAAAATTGATGAAGCTAATTCTCATCCTGATTCAGAGGTAGGAGTGTCAAAAAAGGGATAAATGCCATGCATATCTTTATGTTTAAGGCAAGTTTCATAAAGATCTGCCCTATTGGTTCTCAGCACTGTCAGCTGGTTCAAAACAGTGGATTTGTACAGTGTTTGCCTAGCTGTACAGGGGTGGACAATGTATGTCCCTCCAGATGTTTTAGCCTGGAGCTACCATCATCCCTTACTATTGGTTTGGTGGCTAGGACTGATAGGAGTTACAGGTTAAAAAAAAACATCTGGATGAACACAACTTTCCTATTGCTGTATTATATGAATAGGGGTTACCCCTCTCATTAGCCTTCAACAGCCAGTCAGCTCACTGAGGTGAAATACACAGATGCCATTGACTAGAACAGAACAACACTGCCCCTCCTGGCTTAGTAGATACACAATTCATGTTTATACTCATATGAAAACATAATATGAATGCTTTAAAGACTTGGAATCAAATCAAAACAAAAGACAATGTAAATAAGAGCTAGGCAAAGTTCATTTATATGTCAATGCCAAAGATATTCAAGGAAAAATTTAGGGTTATTTTTAATTAACATTAGAGTTCAACTGTTTAGAAATGATTGTACCATTACCATAAACTGTCCATTCATTATTCACTAGATGCCAATTAGTTACATGCCATTTCATTTGTAATTCGTACCTCATATTTTGAATGTGATCTTCTGTTCAAGAATGTTGCCTATCTTTTACAGCAACATTTCCAAAAAGTTTAGCAAGAAATACATGTGAATATACGAGAAGCCATGATGGATCAGACCAAGCATTCATCTGGTCCAGTATTCTGTTTATATAGTGGGCAACTATCTGCCTGTGGAAAACCCACAAGAAGGACTACCTGTAATACTGGAGGTGGCATAAAGTCATTAAGATAAGAAGCCACTGACAGCTTCTTTATCCACAGATTTGTCCAGTCCCCTTTTAATGTGATCCAAATCACTACATCTGGTGCTAATGAATTCTACAGTTTAATTATAAACTGCATGAAGAAGTACTTCCTTTTATCTATTCTGAATCTCATACCAATCAGCTTTATGAGACGTCCCAAGTTTCTAGTACTAGAAGAGGGGGGAAATGTTCCCCTATGCACTTCTCTGTGTCCTGCATTATTTTGCAGAACAATATCATGTCCATTCATTACTTGCTTTTTTTCTGAAGTTGAACAATTCCAAATATTGCACATGGTATAAAGGAGTTGTTCTATCCCTTGATCATTCTAGTTGCTGTTTTCTGTGAAAATGGGAGCCATTTAAAAAATCCCTATGTTCCACCCTATACTTTAAAATGCACCTTCTATGGAAAAGGTACCCATCAGAAGTTCCACTGGATGTCAGCTTTGTCACTAGCATGTCCATATATTCTCACTAAATACTTCTCTGCCTCCACCCTTCCAATCCCCAATTCTGTGTACAAAAATGACAGGTAGTCATCTTCAGCAATTCAGTTCCTACAGAGAAACACTGAACTGATTTTAATAGCTAGTGCTAAATGTAGACTTTTCACATCAATTATCAATAATGATATTTTCCCTTGTACAGAAAAAGGCAATCTCTTCAGGAAGAAGACTAGACAACTTAATAAAATTTAACATTTGCAGAAGTCTTAGCAGGTTTAGAAGAGTCTACATATAATAATTTCAATATTGGTTGCGCTCCAGCACTCTGACATTGCTCCTGTTTTCCTTCCCAACCAGTTCTGCTTCCCTCTCTTCTAGTTCTCAGTGACTGTGAGCCTTTTAAGTCAAGAGGGGAGTAGGTAAAATGAGTTGCACTTGAAGGCTTTCAGTGCTACCAGAGGTTTTATGCAAATACATAGTACTGCACACTTTCCTACACAAATTACAGGGTTCTGTAATTCACAAATTAAAGGACTAATTTAGAATAAATATCCGTATTGAGAAAAAAAATTATAAACTGAGCAGTCTTTGTTGGTTTTGCATTAAAGCTGAACTTTCTTGGGAGCACACTTGGAATCATAATGTGGATTACTTATCATTTGACATGTTAACCATATTTTATTTATTTTTATTTATTTATTAAAACATTTTTATGCCGCCCCATTCGCCGAAGCCTCGGGGCGGCTTACAACACTAGATAATACAATAAGTTAAAATATCCATATAAAATAATCATAATTTAAAACACACATTATAAAATAAGCCGCCCTGGCCAGATAAAATTCAGTTGTGTTAGCATTTAAAATGTTGCTTAAATAAAAAGGTCTTTGCCTGGCGCCGAAAAACAAATAACGACGGCGCCAGGCGGACCTCTCTGGGGAGCGCATTCCATAACTTAGGCGCCACCGCTGAGAAAGCCCTTCTCCGAGTAGCCACCCTCCTAATTTCTCTCACGGAGGGCTCCTGGAGAAGGGCCTCTCCCGCCGATCTCAGGGGGCGACTGGGCAAATATGGATGCAAGCGCTCCTTCAGGTAACCAGGACCCAAGCCGTTTAGGGCTTTATAGGTCATTACCAACACCTTGAATTGGGCCCGGACTTCAATGGGGAGCCAGTGAAGCTGACGGAGAACTGGAGTCATGTGAACATAACGTCCAGTCCCCGTCAGCAGCCTGGCAGCTCTATTCTGAACCAATTGAAGTATCCGGACCGTCTTCAAGGGTAGCCCCACGTAGAGCGCGTTACAGAAGTCAAGACGGGAAGTCACCAGCGCATGAGTCACTGTTGCAAGGCAGTCGTACTCCAGGTAGGGACGCAGCTGATGAATCAGCCGAAGCTGGAGGAAAGCGCTCCTCGCTGCTGTTGTCACCTGAGCTTCGAGTGAAAGCTCCGAGTCGAGGAGCACTCCCAAGCTGCGGACCTTGTCCCTAGGAGGGAGTGCAACCCCGTTCAGGACAAGGTTCAATTCACCTTCTCCGAAGCCTGAACCGCCAACCAACAGGACTTCCGTCTTGTCTGGATTGAGCTTCAGTTTATTGGCCCTCATCCAGCCCATTACCTCGGCCAGGCACCGGTTCAGTACAGCCACTGCCTCACCTGGATTGGAAAACGAGAGGTAGAGCTGGGTATCAATGAACATATTCAATGTTCAAGAGGCATAGCTAAGTGACAGCGCCTCCATTTTGCGTGTAAAAGGCCCTAGGTTTAATTCTCGGCATCTCCAGGTAGGACTAGGAAGGAATGGTGAGTGTACACCAGCAATAGGCAAGTTTTCTGGGTCACAAGCACCTCTGACAATTTGAGAAACTGCCTCTGGCATCATCGTAAAATGGTAGCTAAAGGTTTGTATTATGTGCTATAAATGGGTCACTTAAAAGTTCTAACAGCCACAATATGAATTCTAAAGCTGGAAACTTATAAAAATCACACCAAAAAAACAAACTAATGATTTGATAAAATGTACATATAAAGAAACATTTAAATTGTTCTTCAAAACCTAGAAGCATTAGTATTATTTCAGAATAGTAACACTTTAGCTATCATTGTTAGCATCTTATAGTCCTACTTATTACTTATTTAAACATAGTTATATCCTGTCCTTCCCTTAAAAAAAGAAGTTGATGACAATGACGACAAAGGATGGATTACCACATCCTAAGAACAACCATAGGTACATCATAAAATATTCAAGTTTTCCAGATGATATGATGTAAGTAACTTAGGAACTAATCAAAAGGCAACAGCTCTATAGAACTTTTGCTGTGTAATAGCTGAACTCAGATACTCAACAAGTGTATGAGCAAATCTGTCAAGCCTGTATTAGATGCAAATTCTCATTTTCCCAATGTTAACTCAGTTCCCCATAAGGCTGTAATTTTTATTATTTTTTAGTCTGCATGAACATTTGTTTGAAGACCTACTTGATTTTTATGCCATTCCCCAATTATGCTTAATGCACTGTTTTGCGCTGTAGCTGCATCTATGTGCTATTGTTATATATATTCTATTACTCAAATTTAGTCTGTCAATAAATGCCTATCTCATCAACACTACTTTGCAGCTACTATAACAAATAAAATGCTATTCAGGAACCGAAGAACAGTACTAATATTGTTGTACTTGTTGCTCCTTAAAATCAAACATTACTATATGTAGATGATAGGGACTCCTATTTCATTCCAACTTTTTGCTCCTTTTCAAAATAAAATAGGAATTTCAAATCAATCACTTCTACTGGCAAACTATTTTTCCAGTAATACTCATTTTAACCATATTTTTCTTTAGCAACTGACCTAACAATCCAAGTCTGGATTAAGTTGTCTGTACTGTGTCTGAATTTTCCCATATTTATTTAGTTAATTAATTTGTATACTGCCCAACAGCCAAAGCTTTCTAGTTATATATACAGCTATGTAACCCTTTAGAAATTGTTTTCTTTCACTCAAGCTTAGAAATATGTTGGTGGAGGGGAGAGGAAGAAGGGGAAAACAATTAAGTGTGGGAAGTATAATACGGATAAAAACTTCTATCAGATGTCTTTCTGCAACTGTAAACGTTTCCAGAGTTCAGATTAACAATATGAAACAGAAAAGAAAAAAAACTAATTATTGTGGATTTGTTCTGCTCTTGCCAAAGCTACAACTCTATCTCATTAACACTGTTTTGTTTTGTTTACAGCAACAGAACCACAAATGATATGGGTCCTCTTTAATAGGCTGGCCAATTATGTAGTCCATCCATGACTGTCAAGCTTAGGTGTGCCTTAGCTATAGAATTCTAGCCTTAGTAATTTCTATGTATGGAAGGCATTCCATTGTCCTGATAAACAGTCAGGCATTTCCCTCTGTATTTCTCACTGTTCTTTTAAATCCTTTACGATAGTGTCAGTGCCTCATCATAAAATGCTCTGAGTTTTTAAAAGCTGCTGTTTTCAAGGGTAGCCCTCATCTCTAGTAATAGTTTATCTGGCATACAGTAATAAGAAAGCATATCTAAGGTGATTTTTCTTACTACAAATCACTTGTAGCAACAATCAATTTTGCCCTGTTTTTACCCACCTCCATAATACTATGGGGTCCTTCTGGAATTAGTTGGGTATTGTAAATAATATGGTATTGAAAAATATTGCTGTTTTCCTATTTGCATCATTTTCCATTTCTGAATGAGGACATAAGGATGTTCTACAACTAATTTACTGGAGCAGCTATCTCCCATTAGATCTTCTTTCAATTCACAAAATAAAACTTCTTTTTATGTCTAGCTGGGTTAATGTGATAAGGTTCTGGAAAACAAACTGGGGTGACAGGGGGATAATACAACCCAGGAACATAACCTCCTAACATTTAAAAAACAAATATACACACAGCAGACTTTAAAAGCTGGCTTCTTAAGGTTTTTCCTTGCTAATTAGTAGTGGCAGACTGTGGGAGTGGGGACTGAATGTGGTGCCAGATGGCCACAGCTGACTGCAGCTATAGAAGAGACGGCATCCTGTCCTTACCAAAAAGCAGCAGTGAGTATGTATTTCTGTACCAGGCGGGTCTGTGGTTCCTGAATGGCTAGCATGTTCCAACAACATCAGTGACCCATGTTTACACTGGACATTGCTGGCCATTCATTAGCACAGGCCTCAGGAGTCCTAGGGGCCATTTAGTGCTAAGGTCCAATAACCCTGAAAAGGTATTTTCTGCAAAATTTTATGGTGGTATTTGTTAGATTAAAATTTAAAAACCAGATGACATATTTGAGTGAACATACATCATCAGAAAGATGTCAATATGTTGACATTTTAAACATCCATGTTCTACTCACAAATACAGTGAGTAAAAGGAGTGGAACAAAGGTTGGAGAAAATTCTCCTCCTGTCATTTTGTTCATGCTCTCCATATTTCTCTTGAAACGTGTCACTGCTGCCTCTAATAACAGTATATTTAGCCCAGGAACACCCAAGTTCAATAAGCAACATCCTTCACTAGAATTGAACTTACTTGCAATAAGATAAAAAGTGTCAGTCTTTTGGAATAGGCAAGCAAGGCCCACATTAGTTCATGTATGGGCACCATCAACAACTACATTGGATGAATCCTATTGGCAAAGAATGCCTGCCTGAATTCCTGTAACTGTGACCCAATACATAGACACCTCATGCTCTAACTGGAACACTCCTTTGATACAATTTACTAGGATATGCACTAAAAAATATTTAAAATCCAGCAGTAAATCTTCTCTTCAAAATCAAACTCCTTTTAAAAGTAGTTATGGCAAGTACCAAACACAATAATAATAATACACTAGGATCTCGGTTCAAAATTGTCCTGCTGTGAAGTCTGCAACACAAACTGAAATCCACTGCTAGTCACCTAATGAAAAGTACAAGAGTTGCAGTTAATTCTTATTTCAATAGCAAAAGTTACTGATAGACAGACTTAATAACAGAAAGAAAGGAATGTAAGTACTCAAGCCACTAACTAGTCACATGGGTATCAGTAACTGATCATGTCAATCCCTAAAAATATTTTGCTTTATGGAGCTATTTTAAGGACATACCTGTTAAAGGAGGCTTATGTGAATGAAGAGTGCAAGGTACACTCACAATTAACTTGTGGTCTGGAATTGCTGGACACACTCCATCTTCTGAAATCCTGTTGCATAAATCATAACAAAATAGAGGCAAGAGCTTCAAATAAACACAAATATCTTGATTAAGATCCATATTTCACATGTCCAGTTTTTACAAATAGAATAATAATAACTAAGGGAAAAATCATTCTCTTACTGGTTGGTAAGCCTTAGGGAAGTGAAATATCTAAAAGCTGTGTATATTTGTTTTCATAAAAGATAAAGGGCAGCTTATAAAATTTCTTAAGCTTCTGAAAAAAACAAAGCCAATAAAGAAATAAGACTGCAGGAAGAAGACAAATGCAGCACAACCAATATATGTTTCCAATCTAGAATACTGCCTTCCCTTAACAAACAGATCTATATTTAATTCAAGGGAACAAAGATTCATCTGGCAGCAGCAGCCAATAGCCCTGCAGGGCTAACATGAGATGACATTGGAAAGAACTAGTTGCAGCTTTTGCCTAGGTAGGAGAGGAGAGGAGAGGAGAGGAGAGGAGAGGAGTTACTGAGTTTATATAAAGATACCAGCAGTGTTTCTGCTTGTTGCAATGATCCTTTCTTGTCAATGTCATGCATTTTACTATACAAGGCCAAACAACTGCACTATAACACCAGTACCCAAACTCTTTGAACAACTCTAATAGGGAACCAAACAATTGTGGAACTAATTCCATGAGTCCAAGGAGCTTTAACCAGTTAAAGGAAGCCCTGTTCCCACTGCCTATGCTGAATCAGATGAATTTCAAAAGCACGTTGTAACATAACATAGGAATTATATGCTTGACAAAGTAATATAAGAAGAGCCATGTTAGGACAGACAAAGGGCTCATCTAGTACAGTGTTCCCAGTGCCATCCAGGTGATTATAGAAAGCCCACAAGAATGACAAAAGTGCAAGAGCAGTTGTTCCCCAGCAGCCAGTATACCACCATACTGGTGGCAATACACAGTGATCAGGACTAGTATCCATTATCCATCAATAGCCTTATCCTCCATGAATGTGTTTAATCTCCTTTCAAAGTCATCCAAATCAATATTGATTCTTAAAAAAATATTCCAGTGAGGTAACAGAAGCCCTTCACATCAGCCTAAGTAGGCCTCTGGATCAGACACATTATCACATAAACTTTATCGATTTTGCTAAGGGGGATGAAAAATATTTATGTGGGATTGCCAATTCAAAAGAATCTTCAAGGTGGCTAATGATCTTGGCCTTGCAATGACATTTTATCCATTTATTTAATAACTAGTTAATGTGCTAAGTTGTGTACAGCTTGGAATAAGTCGTTTCTTTAATACAGCAAAGTTGCGCAGCTAGTTGACGACTTGAGATACATTGGGCCTTCCCTGTGTGAGTAAAGCTATAACTGATGGCAGTCCACGGCATGACTGCTGGCATGGTGCACTCTTAAAGGCCTCTAAGAAAGACCATAGGAATCTTCTCCTTGTCTTCCCTTGAATGTGACCTGCCTTGCCACAATGGAGAGTGGCAGTCATATAACTGTCCCACAGTCTACTTGCTACTGGCTTCAAGCTGTATTGACATCACAGTTGTGCACTGGCTGGGGAAGCCTGCCACCTAGCAGCTGGAGATAGTAGTATGGCTTAAGGGAGATTTGTAAAGCAATTACAATTAATCAATGCATTTTGACAACAAAATAATTTGAATGTGCACATTCTGGATCCTCCTGCTATGTGTGCTAGGATTTAGCTGTCTAGAATTCACAGTTTCAATACATACAGAAAGACACAGATCTTACTATAGATTGGCCATCAGTTAAAGGCATCTCAAGAGTTCTTGAAGTCTTGAAAAATTAAATTTTGCAGCATGGTGGGAAGCAAACAAGTAAAGCAGACAAGGAATAAAGCAAACTGGAAGGAGAAAAACTAGTCTATTTTATGATTTTTTAAAAGCTAAACTTTATACTTTACTCTTCAAATTACAGTTAGGGAAGGCCAGTGTTAATTCCTTGAAACTTGTTTGCAACCTGAAATGAACATTCTTAGTGAAATCATCAACCAGAAATCAATGAAAACATACCTTAATGGTATATCTGGATGCTGCTTGACTCTACCCAGTACAAGAATTTCATAAGGCCTCTTGTGAAATGAATCTAATGGAAATATGAACTCTCCAGACCTTGTAATCTGATACAAAAACACTCAAATGTTACAAGTACAAAGACATGTGTACATATATATTCTATTATCCTAATAAAGTTTAGCTCTATTACTCTATTTGTCCAACAGCATATAGGGTTCAATTTTACATGCTCTACTTTTTATTTTATTATTATTAATGCTCTTAAGTCTACCACCTACCCATAACTTAGCAGCTCAGAGCTAGGCTGCTGCAAAGTGAAAGCCATATACTGGGACAGCTACTCACTCAAGTAGACATCCACATCTAAGTTACTCCAAGTCAGAGATTTTGATAACAAACCCAAAATATAACTAGCAAAACTGTGTATATAAGAACCCAATTAATTATCAATGCAGCCATTGACTCCAGGGGAAAGAAATGTTTTGTGTTTAATGTTAAAGGTTCAAGTAGTTGTGTCAACATTTTTAAATAGAAAGCCCTGTTTAAAGTTAAGAAACACTAATGCTGAGAGACATATAAAACTTATAAGTGGATCTGAAAAATGTGGAAAGGATTGCTCCCAATGTATGAACACATTCTTAACACTACAATTTTAGTAAAACAAATCAGACTAGTCACCTGCAGGGACTGGCATAAGGCAAATGAGAATCCATTGATAGATTTGGTGTGATTAATTGGCTTTCTAACAATACCATCAGCTAACAAAATTCCCCTTCCCCCATTGAATTAAACTACTGAAAAATAACACTTGTGGAAAAGCCAGGAGTGGATTTTTATGAAAATATTTGTGAGCTTGATTCTAATGCTGGGTGCAAATTACTGGGCTGAACAAGTACTTAGATGCACTGTGTTTCTTAATTCTTAACGTTTATCTGCTCAACTGAGACAATATTTTGCACCTGGCTTCAATTGTTCAATTTCACAGTTGCAGTAAAAAAATAAACTTAATCTTGCAGGCTTGAAGACTGCAAACCTGATGCACAGTTTTGTGTAGAAACATTTCTTCAGTTGGTATGACATCCCTGATTGTAACTTGACTTGCCCTGGAAAGAGACAAAGCAAGGAAAAAATCCAACAGTAGCTACCTGCTAATGCTATTTACATTGGATTTCCCAGAAAAATGCTGCGCTAAGTTGAGCTATTGAAATTGTGCAAGCACAAGCAGACAGATGCCATTGGATCCTTACCAAAGAAATCTAAACATATAAACAGACATTTGAAAATAGACAAATATTCTTGAATACTACCAGTGCTTTTTTTGTAAGAAAAATGGTGCCGGAACTCATGAAATTATTTACCTTTCGCACATAGTCAATCACTGTACACACACACACCCAGAGTTCTGTAATGAAACATAACGGTTGCCACCCGCAGTAAGCACTCAGCGCGGGACCATACAACCAATCACAAGCCGAGCAGCGCCACAAGCTGAGCAGCGCCCTCACAAGCAGCACAGACAAAGTACGCATGCTTCGACACACAAGCAGCCTGCATGCACTGTTTTAATTATTTTGCCGCCGACCTGCTATGCTCGACAGGGCGATTCAAATCCACATGGACCAAACATCAAATTTTCAAAAGTTACTTTTAAAACTTGGAAAATCTGTTGAAAAAAGATGCCAGAACTCCGTTCCGGTGCGGTCTATGACAAAAAAAGCACTGAATACTATCAATAAAAATAATAGATATTAGGAAACAGTATTAATAAACAAGCACAGAAGAGTGAAAAAAGTTCTTGCAAACTCACTTTAACCCAGAACCATTCCACAACTCCATGCACACACCAGTGGGGATAAAGTTCATTCTTTACAAAACGTAGATGTTTCTGTCTGTTTGTCACCCATGTGACTACAAGACAATCTGGGGCTGCCAGCGCGGGCACAGGGATTTGCTTGATTTGCCAGTGAGACAAGTAACCGTACCTGCATATGAATATATCCATAAAGTTCAGGTTGAGCTTTTAGAAGTCTGACAATTGTTTACAAACTTTTTCTATTGTTAACAGTCAGCTAAATGAAAATTGAATCAAGAGTGACATCCAGTGGTGAAATCTTATCACAGAACTGAAAACACCCCCCCATCTCTCTCTCTCTCTCTCTCTCTCTCTCTCTCTCTCTCTCCCTCTCTCTCTGTGTGTGTGTGTGTGTGTGTGTGTGTGTGTGTTAACATTCTGATCTACCAGTCACAGCAAGAAATAACAAAGCATAATTCCATTTCCAAAAATAGTAGTTGCTCGTAGAAACTGAGTTACTGAAGAATATTTTAAATTACATTTTTATTATTAATATTAATTTTACTTTTGCACCACCAAATAGCCAGAGATCTCTGGGCTGTTTACAACAGAGCAACACTTCTCTGCAATCCAGAATACTGTTTACATTAACTTGCTTAGGAAGCACCATGTTTCCAATCTACATGAAAATTATTCAGTATTTCAAACTGGCACATAGTTAAATTATGGTATTTGCTATCTCAAGATTTAGAAATAACTTCCAACTCAGGTGGCTTTAAAAGGTGATTGGGCAAATTCATCAAGGAAAAGGTTACCAGTGGTTACAAGTCAGGTAGGACAGGTTTGGGGGGAATAAAAGGGAAAAATGATTACCCTCATATCGTGTTTGCAGGCTTCTCAGAGGTATCTAGGCTTTGGGCTAGATAGGCTGTTGGTCTGATTCAGCAGGGCTCTTAAGTTCTTAACACTGTAAATTTGTATTAAGAATTCTAGAGATAGCAAATATAGCTCCTGATTCTAATTCATCAATTGCTAACAATTATTAAGAAAAACTCCAGAATTACAGCTTGACTTTAAAATAGATGAGTCTTATAACATGTACAGAAGCTTCAAAATAACAGATCAGGTTATTCCTATTAACAAAACGCAGATAATTTGAGTTTTGAAAACATATGTCTGATGCTCACTAGAACGCCAATGTGGGTAGAAAGTCATATACCTCAGTATTAAAGCTTGGATTCTATATGGTAAGTTTGAAATACACCTAAGAGATACATTCCAAGCCAGTTTCATAAGCAATTTATTATGTTGGCAATCGGTTTAAAAAAATAAACTTGAATATGCTCAATTTTGCATAGGATCAGACTTAAATCTACAGGCTCTGAAGCCTGTGTAACTTCAGGTTAACAGCTTTCCTCTGAAAAGGTGTTGTTAACCTTTTCACTAATTAGTGGGAAACACTAATCTCCAATCATTTGTTGTAGTTATTTCACTTTTTTTATCCTGCCTCGGTTAAGAACTGACCACTCTAAATTATATATCACATTGAAGAGTTCATTGTGTTGTTCTAAGAAAACTCTTGCCTTTATCTCATATATTTCAAAATATACCACTTGCCCTTTCTCCTTTGTGTCCGACACTACAAGAGCTCCTTGTTTGTTCCTCTGGTTTTCCATCCCAGAATATAATGTTAAATTTCTATATGACTGACAAGTAATAGAATAAATTCTCCAACCCTTCTATGCATCCAAAATGATGCTGTCAAAATGTTGCCAAAACTTAGCCTTTTCCAAGGGCAAACACTCTTTTAGACTGCTTTAATAGAAGTATCACTTCCAAATCACATGAAGTACTAGTTGCCCTTTACTGGTTAGGACTCATCTGGAGTACTGTGTCTAGTTATGGGCAACACAATTTAACAAAAATGCAGACAAGTGGGAAAGGGTGCAGAGGAAGGCAACATTGATGATCCAGGGACTAGAAACAAAGTCCTATGACGAGAGATGGAAAGACTATGGCCTATGGGCATGTTTAGCCTGGTGAAGAGAAGAATATGATAGCACTCTACAAGTACTTGAAAGGCTGTCACAAATGGGAAGGATAGGATCTCTTTTCACTCATTCCAGAGTGCTGGACATGGAATAATGGGCTCAAATTACAGAAAGCTAGATTCTGGATAGATATCAGGAAAAAATCTCTGACTGTTAAGAGCAGTATGACAATGCAACCAATTACCTAGGGAAATTTTATATTGTTATTTTATATTGTTATTTTATATGTTATATTGTTACTATTGTAATTTTTATTATGTTGTAAGCTGCCCTGAGGCTTCGGCGAATGGGGCAGCATATAAATGTTTTAATAAATAAATAAATAAATAAATAAATAAATAAATAGTGGACTCTCGCACACTAGAGCATTCACAGTGCAACTGGACAGCCATCTAACCTGGTGTCCAGCACAGAGCAGGGGGTTGGACTCAATGGCCTTCTGGCCTCTTTAAACTCTACTTTTCTATGATTCTACAATTCTATGAACCTGAGGTTCCCCAGGTGTTGGGGACTTCCTAAAGGGGCTTTTTAATATTTAATAATGCAGGATTTAAAATTTGAAAGCCTACCTGTTACTCCGTTTAACAGACTTGTTCTCCCATGGTGGATCTATCACAATTATACCAAATTTTTTATTATCTAGAAAGAAAGGGAAAAACACATTTTTCAATAATTACAATAAAACCTTTCTTAAATTATTTGAAAATGTATTTTAAAGCAGTAATTTTAAAAAGTTTTTGATACATTTATACAGAACACATTTGCATGTCACACCAACTCACCCTGGCAATATGCATGGTGTGTTGGTTGTCAGCCAAACAATACATGGAGTTCCTAACTACTGGACTTACCATGGCTAGTTGCACTCCCACAATCCTCCTGTGTATATTCCAGGAGTCATCACAGCACAAGCAAATTGTCTCTCCTATCCTTGCCACGCTCATGAACCAAATTTGCTCTGCTGCAGCCTTTTTCTATTTACACTTTGATCTTGTGTGTATCAGGAATTGGCTGGTGAGTCTCTTGGTATGTTGTACAAAGCTTCACACTGACAACTCTGATTGCACAGATGTACTTCTAATCTAACTGAAATGGGTCTATTTCACATTAATTTAAACTTACAGAATGTCATGTCAGTTTCAAACATACCAAAAAGGCTTTATGACCAAGAGAGGAAGATTCTGTTCCACTATACTTGTCCTCATGTTTCTTAACCAACCAATGATAAAACAAAATAAAAATGTATGCTGTTTCAATTAAAACACAAGTACATTCGATTCATACCATTAGAATTCTAGTTTTAACAAGAATTCTAATATTAAAAGCTTGCAAACCTTCCTAATGTAAAGTTATACTGTGAAAATATTGAAGAATAAACAAATAACTAAGTTAAAAGATTGGTTAGAGAATATGAATAATAAGGTTAAGATAAAAGCAGTATGGCAATGGGAAAAATAACTTGGTTATTGGTTATAATGTGATTCAATTGGAATCCTGGACTAATTAGCAGTTAAAGAAAAAAGGTGAATGCAGAGATTATACTAAGGTCTGATACTGCAAAGGAAAAAAAGACAATACGTGAATGAAAGGCATAGTACATAAAATTCATAAGATACTATTAGAGGAAGAGGTTCATTATGATCCTCTTGAAGCAACATAGGAAACAGTAAGGAATATCAGCAATGATGACTGGAAAAATAGTGAGATAAAAGAATATTAAATGATTGTAAGAAATTTTTGTTACAAACAAGTATGGAAATGATGCCTAACTGCAGGAAAATTGAAACAAATGGATAGTAAATATTCTAACTTATGTTGGAGATGTGGTTGGGGAGTGGATAAATATTTTCCTATGTGGTGGGAATGTGAATATATAATAAAATTCTGAAAGAGGTTTTTAAAGAAAGGAATCATATTGTCAATATTTGATAGAGAACAATGGAAATGCAACACTAAAGATTAATAATATTTATTAAGAGCTGTGAAATTAATTATAGCAAAGAATTGGAAATTAAAACATGAAAAGTACTTACAGTCCAAAAGTGGCTGAATAAAAGAAATATCAGATAAAAGAAAAGCACTTTTGGGTGGAAACAAGTACTTCTGTCCCATTAAAGTTATTATCTTTGCATAGTTTGTGGTATTTTCTGTAACACAGGATAGCTGAACTTGTTCTGGAATCGAAGTTTCCTCATCCATCATAAATACAGCTCTTTGCTCTCTTTCATTCACAGTAGAAAAGCATTTTGCCATCTCACATAATTCAGCCAAACCACAATCATTATGTCCCGTAACAGGAGTCTTGACACAAAACTGTTTGGTGGAACTAGCTTCGAGAAAACCACTTCTGAGCCCCACCTTAACTAAACTCTCGGTACCTTCCAAAATCATGCTGCTGACCTGCACAAAAACAAAAGATGCATAAGGGTGAATTAAAACTCTACATAGATATATTCACAAATTTATGAATCACCAGTTTCTGAATAAGGGAATCTTAAATATGCACAACCATGCAGTAAATTGTTCTAAAATAGTTTTGGATTTAAAACAATCAGAACAGGATGGTGTCATTCTTAAAAATACATATTCTTGCCTTGCAAGTAACACAGTTTCTACGTGTCTGAGGAAGAAAATTTTACACTTTACAAGCAAACATATATTGTTATTACTTCACATTTATACTCCATGTTTTCTCCTCTTGCAAGAAACTAAGGTAGCTCTCCTAGTTTGAGAGTCTATGACTACTCCAAAGGCACCTAGTGAGCTTCATGGCCCAGTGAGGTTTAGAACCCAGACCTCCTGATTCCAAGTCCATCATTCTACCACTATACCACAATGGCAAAAGGGTATGAAAATTCAAATTAAAACCACAGTAATTTTAATGCAGTTTTAGATTAACTCATTTCAAAACCAAATTAGACTATTAGAGAACACAGTGGGCTGCAACAGAAGGATTTCGAGACTGCTAAAAACCAGCTGGATATGTGCAAAACTGCTGTGGAGTGGAAAATCACACTATGTGAGCAGTCTTATTTCAACTTAGAATTCATTTAAATTAAGAGGAAAGTTTATTTCAGAAAGACTTATTCTATTTAAGAAAGTCATGAATCTAAGAACTGAGGTCAGCTAATACTCCTTCTCAGAAGCAAGTAATTCCCTACTAGTTTAACCTGTCTTAAATAAAGGTACTAATGTTATGTAAAATTTAAGCTAACCAGGGTTCGAATCCTCCTTCATGGATCACTGCCTTGTTGTGGCGAAGGGGCTTGTGTAGCTCAATGAAGCTATGAGCTATGCCGTGCAGGGCCACCCAAGACGGACAGGTCATAGCAGAGAGCTCACATGATCCACTGGAGACGGAAATGGCCACCCACTCCAGTATCTTTGCCATGAAAACCCCATGGCCAGTACCAAAAGGCAAAAAGGTATGACGTCGGAAGATGAGCCCCTCAGGTCGGAAGGTGTCCAATATGCTACTGAGGAAGAGCGGAGGGCTTCTACTAGTAGCGCCAGAAAGAATGAAGCGACTGGGTCAAAGCCGAAAGGACACTCAGTTGCAGATGTATCTGGTGGTGAAAGGGGAGTCCGATGCTGCAAAGATCTATACTCCATAGGAACCTGGAATGTAAGATCCATGAATGAAGGAAAGCTGGATGTGGTCAAACAAGAGATGCATTTAATTCAGATGACCATCAGGTATACTACTGCAGGCAAGAATCCCTCAGAAGAAATGGAGTAGCCTTCATTGTCAATAAAAGAATAGGAAAAGCAGTACCGGGATACAATCTCCAAAATGACGGAATGATCTCAGTTCGAATCCAAGGCAAACCATTCAACATCACAGTAGTCCAAGTCTATGCCCCAGCCACTGGTGCTGAAGAGGCTGAAGTTGACCGGTTCTTTGAAGGCCTACAACATCTTCTAGAATTAACACCAAAACATGATGTTCTTATCATCATGGGGGACTGGAATGCTAAAGTAGGAAGCTAAAGGATAACCGGAATAACAGGCAAGTTTGGCCTTGGAGTACAAAATGAAGCAGGGCACAGGCTGGTAGAATTTTGTCAAGAGAATACGATGGTCATAGCAAACACACTTTTCGAACAACCCAAGAGGCGACTCTACACATGGACATCACCAGATGGTCAACACAGAAATTAGAATGACTATGTGCTCTGCAGCCAAAGATGGAGAAGCTCTATACAGTTAGTAAAAACTAGACCAGGAGCTGACTGTGGCTCAGATCATGAGCTTCTCGATGCAAAATTTAGGCTTAAATTGAAGAAAGCAGGAAAAAGCACTAGGCCACTTAGGTATGACCTAAATCATATCCCTGATGAATATACAGTAGAGGTGACAAATAGATTTAAGGAATTAGATCTGATAGACAGAGTGCCTGAAGAACTATGGATGGAGGTTCACAACATTGTACAAGAGGTAGCAACTAAAACCATCCCAAAGAAAAAGAAATGCAAGAAAGCAAAATGGCTGTCTGAGGAAGCTTTACAAATAGCTGAGGAAAGGCAAGAGAGAAAGAGAAAGATACACCCAACTGAATGCACAATTTCAGAGAATAGCTAGAAGAGATAAGAATACCTTCTTAAATGAACAGTGCACAGAAATAGAAGAAAACAATAGAACAGGGAGGACCAGAGATCTCGTCAAGAAAATTGGAGATATGAAGGGAACGTTTCATGCAAAGATGGGCATGATAAAGGACCAAAATGGCAGGGACCTAACAGAGGCAGAAGAGATTAAGAAGAGGTGGCAAGATTACACAGAGGAACTATACAAGAAAGACCTTAACGTTCCTAATAACCACGATGGGGTGGTCACTGACCTCGAGCCAGACATCCTGGAAAGTGAAGTCAAATGGGCCTTAGGAAGTCTGACCAACAATAAAGCTGACAGTATTCCAGCTGAGCTATTCAAAATCTTAAAAGACGATGCAGTAATAGTGCTACACTCACTATGCCAGCAAACATGGAAAACTCAGCAGTGGCCACAGGATTGGAAAAGGTCAGTTTACATTCCTATCCCAAAGAAGGGCAATGCCAAAGAATGTTCAAACTACCGCACCATTGCACTCATTTCACATGCTAGCAAAGTTATGCTCAAAATCCTACAAGCTAGGCTCCAGCAGTATGTGGACAGACAACCACCAGAAGTACAGGCAGGATTTCGAAGAGGGAGAGGAACTAGAGATCAAATTGCCAACATACGCTGGATCATGGAGAAAGCTAGGGAGTAGAAAAACATCTACTTCTGCTTCAATGACTATGCTAAAGCCTTTGATTGTGTGGATCACAACAAATTGTGGCAAGTTCTTAAAGAGATGGGAGTACCTGACCATCTTATTTGTCTCTTGAGAAACCTTTATGTGGGTCAAGAAGCAACAGTGAGAACTGGGCACGGAACCACTGATTGGTTCAAAATTGAGAAAGGAGTTCGGCAAGGCTGTATACTGTCACCCTGCCTACTCAACTTATATGCAAAGCATGTCATGAGAAAGGCGGGCATAGATGAATCACCAGTTGGAATTAAGATTGCTGGGAGAAATATCAACAACCTCAGATATGCAGATGATACCACTCTCACGACCTCTTGATGTGGGTGAAGGAGGAGAGTGCAAAAGTTGGCTTGAAACTCAACATTACGAAAACTAAGATCATGGCATCCGGTCCTCTCACTTCCTGGCAAATAGATGAGGAAGAAATGGAGTTAGTGACAGATTTTATTTTCCTGGGCTCCAAGATCACCGCAGATGGGGACTGCAGCCAAGAAATGCTTGCTCCTGGGGAGGAAAGCTATGGCAAATCTAGACAGCATACTAAAAAGCAGAGACATCACCCTGCCAACAAAAGTGCGTACAGTCAAGGCTATGGTTTTCCCAGTTGCAATGTATGGCTGTGAAAGCTGGACCATAAGGAAGGCTGAGCACCGAAGAATTGAGGGCTTTGAATTGTGGTGCTGGAGGAGACTCCTGCGAGTCGCTTGGACCACAAGGCGATCAAACCGGTCAGTCCTAGAGGAGATCAACCCTGACTGCTCTTTAGAAGGTCAGATCCTGAAGATGAAACTCAAATACTTTGGCCACCTAATGAGAAGGAAGGACTCCCTGGAGAAGAGCCTAATGCTGGGAACAACAGATGGCAAAAGAAGGGGATGGCAGAGGATGAGATGGCTAGATGGAGTTACTGAAGCAGTTGGTGTGAGCTTGAGTGGACTCCGAGGAATGGTGGAGGACAGGAAGGCCTGAAGAAATGTTGTTGATGGGGTCGCGATGGGTCGGACACGACTTCGTGACTAACAACAACAAGGGTTCGAATCAGCACTTGAAACGAAGGGTAATTTAAGTGGCAATACAGTGGTTAACTGTTAGTAGAAAGCTAGACCTGCTATGCATAGTTTCTTAATCATAGTTAAAGAGCATTCCAATAGCATCATTTCCAAATAGCTGACTTCCAGCATTGCATCTCCTGTATTTTTTCCCGAAAAATTGTTTCTGCCATAGTTTGGTAATAAAATGTCATTGAAGCTCCAGCAGTTTGGTGTGGCTTTTTAGGATTCCTGTGTTTTTAAATAAAACACTGCCTCTTCACCGGGTGTTATTGCTTGCTTTTTGATGCTACCTGTGGGCTTGTGAATTACTTCCATGTGAATGACATCTCTATGAATTGACCTGTCTCCGTTTCTTTTTCCAGGGGATGGGGAGAATACAATACTTACTTTCTAAAATACTGAAATAGCAGAATTTGTAATTGAACTTAGAAGCAAAACTTATTTGAAGATGCAATGATAAATTTCAGAATTATTTATATGCAGTTTATCCATTAAACATCTCTTGACACTGTGAGCTCTGAGAGAAATATATTATACACACTGCAATGATTATAGACATGTAGTTCCACGGTCACTCAAACAAACAAGTCCACTCGCTGTTATTTTTCAGACTTACCTTTGAATGATATTCCAAAGCATCATGTTCACCATGATTAAGTTCACTGCTTCTTTTCCGTTTCTGAAGTAGATAACATGCATAAATGTCACTATTACGAACTTTAAAATATGAACTGACAACATCTTCTATTGTTCTTCATACTGAAAGTAATACAGTTGCATTTTGTGATGAGCTAGCATCCCAAAACAGTAGAAAAAATAATCAACAGCCTATTTATATGTTACAGGATGAGGATGAGAAGGAGAAAGAGAAAAGAAGGAGACTAGAACAGACACTGGGCTTCAGAGTTCTAATTCTAATTAGATATATATACTATCTAGGAGAATGGATGGTAGAAGCTATCCAAATGTTCTCTTTTGGAGGTATGTAAAAGAGAGAATCTGGAAAGCTGAAGCCTGGAAATCTTCCATTTACATTCAAACCACAGGAAAATGCAAGAAATAAAAGCATATAACAATATTTTATTTTATTTTATTTATTTATTAAAACATTTTTATGCCGCCCCATTCGCCGAAGCCTCGGGGCGGCTTACAATAGACAATCATATCTAGTTTCTGTTTTTCATTTCATATCTAGTTTCTTTCTTTTTTTCCTTTCTAGAAGGAAAGGAACATCCCAACTCTAAGCTTCATGCAAAAATTATTTTGCCTTCTAAGTTTACATGTCACTTTCCATTCAAAAATATGGTCCTAGTACAGAAATGAGGAAGTATCTTAACCTGTTTTTTCCATTGTGCATGACTCCTGCTCAGGGGTAAATTTTGAAGTGGAGGCTCTCATCATGACAGTCCCCACAGACACTCCCCTACGGTGCATCCAAAAATATATGAGACTATGTTGGTCCATATGCACATCAATTCTAGCAGTTTTCATCTCCATCAGCAGAAGGTCTTCCCTTAAGCTACTGGATCTCAAGTGGCCATTTAAAACTATCCTACTCCAAAATACTTTGAATCACAATGGAAATAATATATTGCTGCTCAGAAAATTTACCTCTTCTCAATGTACTGCGAGGACTGCAGACAAATGCAACAAGTAATTCTGGAGGGTAAGGAAGCAGATGACATGACAACCCTGCTAATCAAAAGGTGCCAACACTGTGTTTCTGCAAGTCCTGGCCCCACTACACTACAGATCCTTCTGAAAGATTGCAGCCACTGGACCTTCATTTCAGTGGCGCTAAGAGCAATGCCTACAATGCTGAATGACCATGACTGGCACTCCTATCCCTTGCTTTTGTTCTACACAAGATTCTTCTTGCTAGAAATTATACTTCTAGCTGTAGCCAATACTGTTTTTTAAGTTACCGGCTATGAAATGCACTCCCCAGAGAGGACTGCCTGGCACTGACATTGTATGTTTTTCAGCGCCAGGTCAAGATCTTTTTATTTTCCTGTCCTTTCAATGTTTAAATATTTTAAATATGTTTTATGTTCAGTCGTGAATCATTATTCATTGGATGTTGATTTGTAAGCCGTCCAGACACACGCAACGTAATTGGATGGGATAAAAATACTCAAATAAATAAATAAGTTAAATGAGTACCAATCATAAACACTGCAGAATTAATTAGCCTTGTTAGCACCACGTCCGCCACATTCTAATGCTTCAGAACATCCATACAGATAAACATCCTTACAGTATACAAAGCCAAATCCTTCAAATTCTTTGCACTTTAAACTTCCTTCCAAGAAAATAGTCAGTGACATCAATACACTTGCATGGCACTATGAGTCTAAGGTATATGCAAATTGTAGATTTTGTTACTCATTAGAACAAATTATTTCAGACAGTATGGAAGGAAAGGGACCAAGATTCCCAGGCTCACTGAAGTAAAGCATGTTCTTGCAGGAACTAGTGTTCTATCCTAGTTATAAGCTTGATATTTATCTGATTCTATATCCAATTTAAAAATACTAGTTTAATAAGTGGTATAAACTTATAATAAGCTGCACAACATTTATTATTAGTGTAGTTCAGTAGATGACAAAAAGCATATGTAGAAGGCTGGGCCCCAGAAGTAGTCTGTAACTACTGTATTTTTCCGTCTATAAGATGCCCCCATGTATAGGACGCCCCCCACTTTCCTACCCATCTCCAGATAGCAAGCTGCTGCTGCCCCCCCGTGCACGCTCGCTTGCTGCCCCCCATGCACCGTCCCTGCCCGCCGCCTCTCCGCTGCACCACACATGCTCACTGCCCCCTCCCCTGGATATAAGACACACCTCAATTTTTCAGAAAAAGTAGCATCTTATACACAGAAAAATACAGTATTTCACAAGATTTTGAATAGAACTGTTGCTAGTTACTTTGCAGCAACTTCTGTGTTTGTACTGTACCTTTTTAGCTTTAGCTGTAAAGCATGAACCATCGCTCTTGGGTCTGCTGCTCTGCTGCTCTGCTCCACTACTTTCTAAACCAACTTCAGAGCTACTTTCCTGGATTTCCAATTGAATATTTGCAGCTATATGAGGCTTAAGGATATAAAAGAATTCTTCCCGAAAAACATATGTCTCTTTCAGCATTTGATTCAATTTTGCTTTTTCAGCTTTGAACTCAGAAACAGAATCTTTCCTGTAAGTGTCTGTAGTACCTAGAGTAGCTACAGTAAGATCCTCATCTGAGGAAGCAGCAGTAACAGGTTTGCTAGAAGAGGTCAAGCCAGAATGGACATTTGAGTGACAGAGCTGGTAACCAGACTTGTTTATGAAGGAGAGGTGATCCAGAATCCACCCAGCTGACAGACAACTAACCACAGCCATTGTCTGCTTTTCAAGTTCCTTCTTCCAAAGGAATGACTGATTAAAAATCGTATCTCCTTGAAAACAAAAGCAGCAAACTTTAGAAAATTTCTCCAGTTTATCACAGTTTTGACACTCAAATCCCAGTACCCCTACTGATCCTATGCATACTTACTCGGACACAAATTTCACAATTTTCTATGGGACTTACTCCCTTGAAACTATGTGCAGGACTGCAGTGTGGGCCACTAAATTATGCAAAGAATGCTTTTACATTCTTTTTGAAAATATTACTGATTGATCTCAATAAAGGTATCCATTAAGATTAAGCAGAAGCAGACATTTCACTGTTCTTAGTGCAACCCTATTATTTAGCTTTTATTATAATTTTCACATAGTCTGTTGTAGTATTTCCTACTTTAGAGCCCAGCAGGTATTTTGAACTTCAACTCCCATCAGCCCCAGCCAACATAGCCAATTGTCAGAAAGCCAGGGAGTTGTAATCCAGAACATCTGGAAGCTATTAGTAAATTTCTTTACCACTCATTCACCAAAGTTATCTGGGCAGTACCATGTTTCTATTGGATCCCTATTATCTAAACCTCCATACTCTAAATAACTAATCTGCCATTATTGGTATTTTGCCAAAATGTGAAATTGGACTGGGTCCTCCACTTTACACAATGTCTCTTCTACTTCTCTTGCAATGAGCAGAAGAGAAGAGCAGAATGAACAAGAAAATACCATATATGAAAGTGTCAACTTGACCTTGCAAATACCCACAACAAGGGACAGTACATATAATTCTAAGGCCCACCTGTGTTCACACCATATGAAACATCCCAACAGCCAGATATTATCTTTGTCTTCTCAGTCTCATTGTGTTCCAATGAGACTGAGTACACTTAAGTACACTTATTCAAATCAGTGACTGCTGAAATGTATAGAATATATGCACAAATAGATTTGTTTTAGCTGTAAAAGCCTGTAAGAATTTACTTTAACTGAGCTTTGAACAAATTCAGCAAATGGTACTTCAGCATCACTTTTTCTTTTGTATTAAAAAGTTTTGTTTTAGAGGCATATTGTGTATATATTATAGTAGCAGCAATGAAAAATTCATGTATCAAATCTAGCCTGAGGGGTTCAGACATTTTGCTGCCTATTTTGAAAGACCCTGTGATGTACATGAATTTTAAGTTCAATTTTAGTGATAGCCAAGCAGTTTATCTCACTATTTCCCAGTGAATTACAAATATTAAATGAGCAACCAATATCTCCCCATTGGTACATAAAGTATCCATCTCAAGCAACATTAATTTTGATTGCTCTTTGTGCACACCTCCAAAACCAGAAAGCTTGTCTGAATCTCATTCTATGGTGATTTGTTTTGTCTTGTTTTGGTCAACATCTTATTAGCCATTTATATGATTTGTTAAGTGTTCAGTACAGTGCAGATAATGCATGTTAGAACTCTTTTGTCACCTCGATTTTCATCCCAACAAAATACAGATTGCAACAGCAAGCAAATACTATTTCTCCTTCTCACATTGGTTACAAATTGTGAATTTAGAACATAAGGCTCTAAAATCCTTATGTTCTAAACCCTAAAACACCAAATTACATGGGATCATGCAATTTCTTTCTCACCGGTTTCTGACAAGAAGGTAAACATTTACTTACAAATCTTACAAAACATTTTTCATGCAAAAAATAAATGTTATAATGCAAACACCTAGAATAGCAAATTTTAATTAATTTAGACTGTTTCAGGAACTACCAGCACCCTCAAATGAAGCTAGCATCCACCTGCAATTATTTCCATGTAAAAATATTCTATTTATTAAATTTATATCCAACCTTTTCCTTTTTTTTAAAGCACTCAAAGCTGTTTACATCATTCTCCTCTTCCTGCTCTCAACATTATCCCCACAACAACCACCCTGTGAGGTAGGTTGAACTGAGTCTGCAACTGGCCCAGCGTCACCCAACTACCTACTGGCTCTCTATTTAACATGCTTTCCCTTACCACAGGTTACAGTAATTTGTGGCTTCTAGGATAACAATAACATTAAAAATAAGAACAGTACCTACAGTACAGAGGAACCACCCAATGGGTTAACCCCCAAACTGTAATCAGCAACAGAAGTTAAAGCTGAGTTTCCTTAAATAAAAAATAAAGCTTTTTTGCTGGCATCTTCTAAGACTGCTCTCTCTCTCTCTCTGGTCTTTGTATTTTAGAAATTAAAGGAAATAAAACACTTTAACAGCATTCAGTTTGATTTAGTACATTGGAGTGTTTAAAACACTTGGTGCACATTATTTTGATGTCAACGTACATGTAAGTTAGAGGTATTATCATCATCCCTATCTTAGAAACGAGGTACCGAGTCTATCTTTAAAAAGGAGTACAGATACTACTATCTAGCGAGTTCACAGCTGCGATGACACTTCAACAACGAAACGCTCATGAAGCCGGGTAAGTATGCTTTACTAGGAAGTAAACCTCGTTCCGATAATGTGTGGATAGCCTTCAGTTCATGAGCCCAGTCTAAGGCAAAGCCTTCCACATGACCACTAGAATCTAGCCACGATGGGAGAGCCCGAGTTAAGAGCTTCACCTGTATGGACCCTTTGGGATCATTCGTCTCCTCCCCCACGCCCCCAACACAGGCCCAAAAATCCAGGAAGAAACCCCTTTGCTCACAAGAGCGCAGCTACCTTACCCTACGCAATGGTAGTGACGTAAAGGTACGCAAATCACGTAGCTAGGAGCATAACCGCTTGGTGACGTAATTACCATAGAGATGGAATTCTACTTTTGCATATAATTTCCTGTTCCTGAGGAAGTGACGTCCACTCCCTTCTAGGAGAGAGGATACGTCACTGCCGACTTTGCTGGCTGGCGGGCTATTTTGAAAACAGACGATAAGCGGATACAGTAGGGCGACGATAGGGGCTGTTTTCTGGCGCTTTATCAGGATTGATTCTCGCGTCCTTTCGTTCAGCTTGGCTTGCATGAGGCAAAGGGCGATTGTAGCTGGTTGAAGACGCGTCATTCTTGTGGCCTCGAAAAACGATTAGGCAGCCGTTGGGCTCTTCTGGCCTTGCTCACGCGAGCGAACTCTGAAGCTGCTTTTATTTTTTTCTTCCCTTCTGTTGTTTTTAAATCGACGGTCCTGAACGCGTTCTCCTTTTCTGCCACTGAAAAGACAGGCGCCTTAACGGCGTATTCCTAGATCTCTTTGCTCGAAAATACGTCGTATTGTGTTCAACTGAGGCTTACTTCCAGGTAAATGCATATAGGGTTGCAGCTTCAAGAACTAGAGTAGTTCTCCACTTGCTGCCTGGGTGCTTCTGAGGGTCAGAACAAATTTGGCTTTAAATCTATATTCTGCAGTTATGCCTTTTTCTGAATTGGGACCCTAGTGTGGGATGGAAAAGGGGAGTTCTAAGATCTAGGTTAGGCTCCTTCTGCATTAAAAAAGGAGGTTCCAAATACAGATTCGAAATTCTGCCAGTTTTGCCCCTGATGTGGAACCTTAGTAGCAGCGCTCATGAAAGATCCCTCTGGAGATCTAGTCTTGTACGAGGGTGATTTGGAGGATCCTCTGCTGTTCAGCAGGGCTCTCTGATTGCTTTCTCACCCCATTTGCCCAATATGTGTTAATTCCTTTCCACTAAAGTGCCTTGAGGGGTTTTTTGGGGAGGGGGGAAGGCACCGTTTCCTGCTAGGGAAGGAACAACGGTTCTGTTAACCCCTGAAACCTATAGGTAGATGGGGAAGGGTCTAGGTGGGGTTGCTTAATCCTTTTCCCTCCCCCATTTCTGACAAAACAGTATCCTTTACTTTAGCAGGCTCTTCTCAAGGCCATTATCTCTTGTATTGTAGTTCACTGGAAAACAATGAGGCGTAGTTCAAGTACTAGTCGCATCAATTGCAGGCAGTCCATCCAACCTCTCAGGGTGCATGATACCAACAAGGCTGGACTCCATACCCCGCAAACGTAAGATATATAATCTCTCTTATGCTGGGATTTTATTCTATTTCCAAAGCACACATTATCAAAATGGGAGGGGGCTGTTTTCTGTTTTTTATTTAGATTTGTTTCCCAAAGTTGCACTTTCTCTATAGTATTCATATCAAATCTGACCACATAAAAATAAAGTTGTTAAAATAAGAATGTATAAAACTTGAATAAATCTTTGTGCTTATTGTATATATGCATATGTAATGGAAGACTAGGTCACACTAATACAGTCTCAAAGAAAAAACTAATTATGCATACATGTTAACAATAACATTTTCACCACTTGATAGCAGGAATAGGTGATTTATTGAATAAAATGTAAATGTACCATTTACAAATCCAATGTACCATTATTGGAAGAAATTGCTGTGCTAATAAAATTCTACCGACTTTTCTCACTGCACAAATGGACCAATTTGCACACCTAAGATCTGCAAATGCTGTGCAAACTTGCACATAGTTCAAACCTTGGTTTTGCAAGCGCAGTATCATTTGTGCTAGCAGAATGACATTGTTAGTTACAACTCACTCTTTTCTACAACTTGTAAAAGTCAGTATTCTTTTCTTTCAAAGGCAAGACAGGAGAACAACTGTGGGAAAGCAGAGTGTAGGGAAATATGCACCAGGGACATCAGAAAGGAAAACCAGCTTTTTTGGCAAAAGGTAAGAACCCAATGGGTCACTTATACCACCACCAATTCTTTTCATTGTGCAAGTGATGGGTCCTCCCAATTGCATTGTGCAAGTTGAACTGACTACTTCTTGTGAGCTTTGCTGACCTTCTAGAAACAAGCATTTCTATTCATTCTAAGTTGCCCTGGAAATACAAAATTGCCATCATGCATGCAGTGGGGGGTGGGGGTGGCTTTGGCAACAGAATTAGGAGGGCAGAAAAGTGGTTGGGGAGGAAGTCTTTTGTTGGGTTTTGGCAGAATTTCACTAGGAAAAAAATGAGTTATTTGAGCAAGAGTACCATCTAGAAGACTTGAGCTCTATTTTTAAACCAGTAGAAGAAAAGTATAATACTTCTCACTGGGCTAGAAAGAACATGAAGATTTCTTACAGCTGTCAAGAATAAGAAAAGTCCCACCTCATGCTTTCATTATTCTGCTGGCATACTGTGGTATAGAAGGGTTGACAGATATTCTTTTGGCTGAAATTTGTAAATCTCACTTATTTTTGGAATGCAATGTTCAAGTAAAATTGCTTCCATGGTAAAATGGAAAAATGCTAAAATTATGATTATACTTTGATTTGTCATTTAGAAACAGTGGCCCTGGAAGCTTACGAAACAGTCAGTATGGTGCATTTGGAAGTATGGAGAAGATCAAAGAACCTAGACCACTTCATGACAAAGCATTCATTCAGCAGTGCATCCGTCAACTCTGTGATGTATGCAAAGCATGTAAATTATTTCCATTTAAACTGGCACTGCAGATTGATTGTGCCTCCTGATTGATCTACTTTGAGAGTATTTGTGTAAGATTAAAAGGTGGAAGGGGGATAAATAACTTAGCAGCAGGAATTTTAAAAGGTGTTAATTATCTTAATATTTCTTCAAACACTACAAGTGTTAAGCAATATTCCTGTTTGTAACCTAAAAAAAAATCTCTTCTAAAATGGCATCATCTGTGACTTTACTTCCTTAAATACATTTTAGTTTATCATACAAGTTTAACTGAATAGTAGCAATAATGTGCATCATATATGGTTTCATGTTGCTCTATCAATTGGCATCTAATATATGCTAGGAATATATCTGTTTTCTCAGTTTCTTATAACATATGGATATGGACCTAGCGTCTCTGTGAAGTCACTCCAAACTCCATCTGTTAAGGACTTTGTGAAAATCTTCACATTTATTTATGAAATCCTTTGCCCTTCTTGTGAGCTTCAGAAGTTTGAAGAAGAGATTCCAAGAATTTTTAAAGAACTTGGGTAAGTAATGGAATAAGAGAAAAATGCTATTTAGCTTTGAATATGTGTTGAAATAACCATTAGCAATAACTCGGAGTTCATGAAAACAATAAACCAAGGTTTATTATAATTAAGCTAACTTTCCAAGTTTTTAGGGTGCACTGGCAAATTCAAAGACTCTAAATATAACACATCAAGAACATATGCTCTTGTACTTGGGATTATTATTATATTGGAGTACATTTCTATACCATCCATAGCTGAAGCTGTCTGGGCACTTCAAAACATAAGTAACACATCCAGGTTTCAACCAGGCCTGACCCTGTTTAGCTTGCAAGATTAGGCAGAATCAGGCACTTAACCTCAAATGATTATCACTATAGTCCTCTGGCTCATTACCCTTAAATCACTAACAGTGCAATCCTATATGTGTACAGTGAGGTTTAATCTCAGATAAGAAAGAAAAAAAGTAGCATTTCTCATTTTAGGATTGGCACTCCATAGTTATGAGCCAGTGTGGTATAGTGGTTAAGAGCATGGAACTGGGACTCAGAGGATCTGGGTTCTAGTCCCTGCTCAGCCATGGAGCCAACTGGGTGACTTTGGGCCAGTCACAGACTCTCAGCCCAACCTACCTCACAGGGTTGTTGTTGTGGGGATCAGATGGAGGAGGAGAATGATGTAAGCTGCCTTGAGTCCTTTGTAGGAAAAAGGCAGGATATAAATCGAAAAATAAATAAATAAATAAAAATAAATGTTCTTCCTTCATGCTGTACGACCTTGAATATGTACTGTTTGGAATGAGGAAAGTAGGGCTGGTTCTATCATGAGGCAGAGTGAATCCCTTACCTTGGGTGGAGAAGGAGAGGAATTGGCCAAGCAAATGCACACACATGCTCCACTGCTAACTACTACTTTAACAACGCGTAATATCTGTAGGTTTTAATTGTGCAGCCAGGGTGTTTCTGGATTTTAATTGTATTTTGTATCATGTTTGTTTATGTGAGCCATCCCGAGGCTATAAGTGATGGGATGGCATACAAAACCTCTAAAGAAATACATGCTTACCCCACCTGTTCAGCAGCCATGAAAGAAAAAAATGCTTGAATGCCTTGCAGCAGCTGTGCCATGTCCAGCTAGCTGGTTTTCACTAAATAGAATCAAAGCATGGTACACTTAAGCCCCAGGAAAAGGAAGACCACCTTCTGTCCCCATTATTCCACTGAGCTCTCATTCAGTCTGCATGTGACAGGAGGGTGGAGATCAATAGAAAGTTGAAGTCAGGGAGATAATCCATTCCTCCTGCCCCATTTCACAGAATGTGAGAAAGCATATGATTCATAAGTGTATGCTGTCCTCTGCAGAGCCCTCTATCACACCGTTGGCAGCCAAGCTGAATAGCAAGACAAGGGTTCTGAATCGGTGAACTTCCAGTCCACAGGGCTTTAGAGTCTGACCCCTGGCTTCCCAGCCCTTCCTCCCTCAGCCTCAAGTTCTCTGGCTTTCTGCCACTCTGCCCAACTCCATCTGCTCTGCATTGTTGCTACTTTTTTCTCTGGGAGGATGTTTGGGCTTTTCCCCTAATGAGCCCTTCCTTTTTCTCCAAACCTTCATTTTTTCTAGCCACTTTTTCTATGCATCTGGGGGTTGCTTATTTTGCTCTCTTCCATACCCCAACTCTCCTTTTTTTGTGAATTTGGATTTTTATTCTTCTGTTTCCCTTCAGCTTATATCTGTGCAACTGGCATTTCCGTTATCTTCGTTGTCCTTCACTCCAGCAGTTCACTTAACTGGTATCTACAATATTTGTTTAATTTCCCTTCACCTCTCCATTTATCTCTGCATCTGAGGTTTTATTTTTTCTCCACAACTATGTCCATCTGGGATTCCTTTCTTTTAGCCCTTGCCCTTCTCTCCAGTTCACCCATTATCTCTGTATCTGAGGCACTAATTTAACTGCTTTTACCTTTTCCTTTCTCAGTGCATTTGGGACCTTTTCCTGCTATTCCCAACTTCCAGTTATCTGTGTATCTAGGATATTTGTTTATATTTACTGTCCTCCTGTTCTCTGAATTAGTTTTCTCTGAGTACAATCTTGCCATGCAATTGAGATTTATTACTTTCCTCCTTCCCTCTTACACAGTGTCTTGTTCCTCTGAATTTGGCTTTGAGTTTGCCACTCAAATTCTTTCTCTGTGCACCTGGGCCCCCTCCCCCACTGGATGAGCATGTCTCTCAGTCCTTGACTGCCAGCAGAGATCAATTACTTATCTTTCCACTTTGACAACTTGAAATATGATTATATTTTAATTAGTGTCATTGTGCTGTACTGTGAGGGAAAGGTGCTTATGGGATTTTCTTATTTGCCAACATACATTAACCAGCCTTGGGTAGTGGACACCTTCACTGGGGCTGAAGCCACCACATCAAGCAGAAAAAAATGACTTGGGATGGCCGTGGGCAGAAGGTTTTGGATGCATAGTTAAAAATGAAAGTTGCTCTTGCGCTCTTGAGACTTAAACTGTCTGCATTCTTTTAAAACATAAAAATAAGCTACCATAAGTTCTGTGGTTTTTCTTACAGGTATCCCTTTGCATTGTCAAAAAGTTCTATGTACACAGTGGGAGCACCACATACATGGCCTCAGATTGTAGCAGCATTGGTCTGGCTGATAGACTGTATCAAGGTATCACAAAACTGACAGAATGTATCCTATTTCTGTGATAGTTTGCAAATATATCACTCAGGGCCTTGTTTTCATTTAATTTTAATTTGCTTATAAATATGGAAATGTTTACTGAACAATTTGTTAACCAAACTCAAAATCATTTTGGGCTCAAAATAGTTCAAATTTAGCAACCAGTTTATTGCAACTAATTTTTTCCCGGATCTACTTTCTCTTATAAGAAGTTGGGAAGGCTTAGACTAAGCAGTGGTATCCATATGATTTGAAACATTTAAGAGCCATGCAGCATCAAACCAAAGGGCCAAACAAGTGCTTCAGGGAAAGCCCACATACATAGGCATACTGTCTCTGTTAAGAGAAGTAGCATATAGCCATCAGAACAAGGAGCCATTGTCCTCTATGAAATTGGTGAATTTCCTTTTAAATGCCACCCAGATTGGTAGGCATCACATCTTCCAGCAGGGAATTCCATAGTGTATGCACTTTCCTTCTATCTAATTTGGTAAATATATTGACAAGTGTACTATAGTATAAGAACTGTAGCATATCTATATAACTACATCCTATGAGATATTACATAGATATGAGATATAATATAAAACAATAATATTTTATCTTTTGTGTTTTATTCAGTTGTATTTTTCTATGAAAGAGAACCCACAGCCATTTGATGAAGGACAGTCTCTGGGAGAAACTGATGATGGAATTGTACATAACAAGGTATCTTAACAATCTCACAAGATTGGAGGATGTGTACTACTTTTACAAGCTAGATCAAAAAAGCCATTATCTATATCTTTAAAATTCTTTTTTATGTTTAAGTGTAATTTTAGTGGATTCCAGAGAACTGTATGCAAACCTGGTTAAATGATTTCATGGACCACTCCCTGCAGATGTCTGCAACTTTTAGTGTTACACAAATTCAAGGCTTGAACACTGCTAGTTCAGTATTCTGTTCACCCAGCTCCCCCGCCATGTTCATGCTTGGTGCAAGGGGATATTTGCTCCTCTTCCTAGGATTAGGATCTTTCGGAGGAATCCTCTTCCTCTGAGTGACACCCTCCTTCCTTGAAACCCCCACTCTCCATGACAACAAAGGAACTATCATGTAGGAATTGGGGGCCTGTTATTAAATCCTCAAGGGCCTTATCGCCAGCCTCTGTGCCTCTCAGTTTTTCCACTTCAGTCACCTTCGCTTTGAGGTATCCAACTGGCAGGTAGTCATACATGTGACTCTCAGTGCAAATATGTTGGATATCTCCTAGACCCTTGCTGGATTTTTCCTTCCTATCTGGTTTGTTATTGTTATTTAATTTGTATTAATAGGGTTGTTTGTTTGACTAAGAGAAGGTGAAGAGTTAGCTTTTAGATATTAATTGACAGTTACAGTTTATTATGAGAAAGGAGGACAGAGTTTTCTGCTTTGGTCTTCTCACCCTGTTGCTGCATTCATACAGTTGCTTTAACTCATTTGAGCGTTGATGCTTTGCACTGGGGCTGAAACACTTGATCACTAGGACTCCTTGCACTTGGAGACCTGGCTCCCTTGCAAGCCTACTCCTTATATAGTTTTAGGTAGGATGGCCCAAGTGCTGTTGCAACCAGTCTGCTTGGGGGGCCTTGTTGAAAGGCAAGGGAAACTGGTTCAACTCTTCATCTGCACCAGTTGCCAGTGAACAAAAAATTATGTTAATGATCCTGCCTGGGCATGGAGATATTCTATTTAGTTGAAAGGAGAGGACACAATGAAGTGTAACTGATTCTGAATATTTTAAATTTTTGTTATGCCACTTCGAGCATGCTGTGCTTGAAAAGAAGTATATAATGATAATTATTTTGGAGTAAATTCTATTGAACATAGCAAATTTAGTTCTGAATAGACATGTATATCCTAAGGGCCTCCACCTGCTTCTGTCATTAAGTCCCAATATATTAATTCCATTAATAGCCATTTTAATTGGTAGATTTGGCTAATGTTTTTCAATGGCTGCATTCCCTCAGAGCCAATCTGTTTGAGTGCATGATGGCAGTAAAATGAGCTGCAGGTGGGGTCACATTTTTTCTTCCTCCATTCTCATTCCTCCTCCATTCCTACCCATCTGGCTCCCTGAAATTGATTATTCTGGTTAAACCTGCTCATTTGTGAAATCTGCATGTTGCAAGCTGTCCACTTATGTTTTAGCATATTATTTAACATAGGAGAGTTTGTTGTGGGGTAATGTTTGTTATAGGAGTACTTCCAAGTTAGGGCATACAAGCCTTCTATCGCCATCCTAGTTCTAGAAATGTTTTTGGAAAAAAAAGATGAAATTGAGATTTAGGGAAGGAAGGAAGGGACGGTCTTTAGAAAATTCTCCTAACAGAAGTTTGCATATAAAAATAAATGCTAAATGACAGAATCTGTAATGAATACCAGAGATTCCCCATCCCTATTGTAAAGAGTAATCGAGGTATCCATGCAAGCCATTTTCATCCGGTCCATATGCTGCCATAATGTTCCATTGGTATATTTCTGCAATTTCCAGATGCTGTGGTATATTTTTCAAGATAGTGTAGATGACTTGTGCTTCAGCCAGTTGAAGCTAAAGCATAGGATTGTGTTGGCAACATACAGGTATGTGAGGGGATGTCACATAGAGATGGGTAGAGACCTGTTCTCCCCTGCAGAGGAAGGCAGGACGCGCTCCAACGGAGCCAAGCTCAGGGAACCAAGGTTCCATTTAGATGCCAGGAAGCAGTTCCTGACAGTTAGGACCCCGAGGGTGTGGAATGGGCTTCCACGAGAGGTCATGGAGGCCCCATTGGTGAGGGTGCTCAAAGATAGCCTGGACATGCACATGGTGGGCATTTCGTGAGTGGAGCCATCTGGTGCCGGAGGTCAGACTAGATGGCCCGGGAGACCCCTTCTGACTCGCGCTGTTTCTGTTTTGTCAAGGTCCCTTGAAAAGCAAAGTCTGGGAAAAAAAATTGTATAGAATTCTATTGCAGCTCTGACTGAAATTTTGAGAGAAAGTGTGATCTTCAACTTTAGTCTTTTAAACTTCAGCTTCAGTAATGCTAGTTCATTTGTGTTCCTTCTAAAATAATCCCTAGAATCAGACTGATTTGTATTATTTTACCCACAGCTCTTTTTAGACTATACTACAAAATGTTACGACCATTTTATGAGGGGAGGAGACACATTTGAAGAATTTGACGCTGAAGTACATTCCAAATTAAGTAAGTAGTTTTCATTTTAAAACCTAGTAGAATTAGGCCACACTCTCCAGTCCAGATGGCTGTAACTCTCTTAATTATTAATCCATAGGATTATGGGTATTCTATGTAGGCTGGCAAGTGTGTGGAGACAAAAGCTGTCTCCATGTTCCTCCTGCCTGAAAAACACTTAGGTGGCTGATTTCAGCTTTCCAAGTGTTATATTTCCTTGGAAAATAAAACAAAGAGACATCATATCTTAGCAGCACTGTCCTCCTCCACTCTCCCAAAAGCCCTGAAGTCATTCTTATGACTTTGGAGATGCAGCTGGCATGGGTTTTGCTGTGCCAGCTGAGAAGAGAGCTCTGATTCCAAGGAACAAGGTTGGAGAGATTTCCCCAATCTCCAGGCTGGTGATCTGAGCAGGTCTATGTCTGTCTAGATGCAATCAGCCATGAAATTGATTTGATAATGAGTTTTAACCTTACTTTTGATTCCTTTACCAGATGTTTTTTCTTCAGTAGTTTCTTCAGTAGAATGTTTATTGTTCTATCATAGTGGGTTTGCTGAAACATGATCCTTCCATTTTAAAGTAATGATGGCATACCCCAACCCCCCACCTTTTCCATTTTTATTAACAATGATACCAAGATTTGATTTCTAATTGTTATATAAATAACTACTTTATGCATATTCAGTTACTTCATTATCGTTACCTTCTACTCATAGTTTGAGTAGGCTATCTCTATCAAGAAGTATCTCTAGCTAAAATTTAGGGAAATAAATCTTAGTGGACTATTGGATTTGTTAATTCTAAATTGTTGAGTGTTTATAAATTTTGTTATGCTTTGTATTTTAAAGTGCATCTTCTATTCTCGTTTTGTATATCACCTTTGAGATATTTTTCATATGCTTAAATGATGCATAACTTGGTATAATTAGATATATTGTACTTGGCATTCCAGTGGCTGAATTATGTAAACATTTTAAAGCTTCGATTAAAGTTTAGGTAAAACTTGTACCAACTAGGCCAGGAGATTGCAGGCCTTTAGTATTAAATATGATTATGATAGAATGGGATATATTACATAATGCTCCTCCATCCAATGAAAATGCAGAAGATGTGGTTCAGAACACAGGATTCTTGAGTAAATTGTATTTTTGGTTGTTCTAAAGGTGGCAGTATAAACCACTGAAATAGCTTCAGTTTATTCAGTGCAGCAGTGTCTTGGCAGCAGAAAAAGATTTGACAAAATAGTTGGCTTGCCACTTTGATTTATTTTACCCTCAGGCACTTCCTGCCTTTTCCACCTTTCCATGAACTTTGGTTTTTCCTCTTTTGCTGTTTCCAAACACATAATTATGTTTACTTTTCCTTAAGGCATTCCCTTATTTCTGATAGTTCAACTTTTTCCACTAAGCATAAATATATTTTAGTGGCATCATAAAGGACCAATCGAACCTTAATCAACTGGAAATGGTCTCATAATATGATCTGAGGGCATATGATGCAGGCACATTAACCAAAATAATTAGGATTGAGTCTTGTCAGTCTCTGGATGGGAGATCACCTGGGAAATTCCAAGTAAAAAGAAAGGTGGGATGTACTTTGGTTTGTTGAAGTATTCACTTCCCTTAGACTTTTCCATATTTTATTGTGCTATGCAACCTGAAACAATTAAATCTAATTACTACTGGATGTATATGATACTTAACTCAGTGATGATGCAAAATTTCCCCATGGAAGAAATGGTAAACAAACATTAACTGACACTTATTTGTTCCTTATATGAGTATTCTCTCCCCACTCCTCCAAGTCAGTACCTGGTATCAGCACTTACAGCTTTGGTAGCAATTATAGCTATGAATCTTCTTGAGTGTCAGATTTGTGCATCTGGATCTTGGCATGGGGTGAATACTTCAACAAGAACTAAATAAACCAATGAAAATGACTAATGTTGTCAAGGAAAATGACAGTCTACTAAAGATCTGTAACTTGTATTTCATTGAAGAAGGTGCAAATTTTGAACTATATAGTTTGTGAGTGTTTTGTTTTGTGCCTCTTTATTCAGAATAACTAACAGGTTGACTGACTAGGGGATTATATTGGTTTTCTTTCAGAGGATCTTTTTAATACACATGAAAATCGTATAGAGGCACTGGAAATGGAAGAAAGAAGGCTTAATGAGGAGATTGCAAGGCGTGAGAAGGAGCGAGAAAGTGAACCAGTTAGTTAATGGCTGCAAATGGTTTTAGCAAGATTATTCCTGCACTACTACTACTTTTTACAATCTAATTGTATTGCATTGTGTTAATTAAATAGCAATCTCCTTTCCTTCTTTTTCTATGCTAAAGGACCGTTTAGTGACTTTACAGAAACTGAAGTCATCTTTACAAGCAGATGTTAAGAAATATGAAGTTTATATGGATAACCTGGAATCACATTCAAACAGTATCAGTCAAAAATCAAAAAATATTACTGAAGAATGTGAGGCTGCTGGTGAGGACAAAATGCTGTTCATCAAGAATTTATTTCATTCTCTCCCAGTCAAGAACTTTCTAAAAGAAAATAGACAGTTTGCAGGCCTTGGAAGTGTATGAAACCACTGTCTCCAAAAACGGGATTTACTGCCGCTGCTATCACTGCCACAACTGCCACTGCTGCTATTACATTGCTTTTATATGCAGTCTATTTTTCTTTTGTGAGGAACCCAAATCAGCTTGCACATTCCTCTTCCTCTCAATTTCATCTTCACAAAAACCCTATTAGGTTGGGTAAGCTGAGAATTAATGACTGGCCCAAAGTCACCTAGTGAGCTTCATGGCTGAGTGGCAACTGGCATCTGGATCTCCCGAGTCCCAGTGCGACACCCTAACAATACACAATACTTACCTTAGTCATACAATGTCATATTGTAACAAAAAGAATGATGAAGATGATTAATTCCACTTCTATACCACCCAATAGCCAAGACACTCTAGGCAGTTCATAAGCACAGAATCAATAGTAAAAATGGATACAGTAAAAATACAAAAGGTAAATAGTTTAAACAATTTCATTAACATAATACATACTTTTTACTATGCATATAAGGTACTTTATAGCATCAAACTACATGGTCAATGTCCTGTATACTAAGTACATATTTATGCACTTTTTGTGTAAGATCCTCTAAAAAACTATACAGATGTGAAATAATATCAGTGTTAGTCGTCTTGACTCCTTAGTATTGTTTGCAGCTGTCTTTCATTTTGTCTTAACTATGTCTTATACATTTCTCTTAAATTTAGCCATGGAAATTGAAGCACTGAAGCAGGAGAATAGTAATCTGAAGCTCATCTGTGATAATCAGAAGTACTCCATTGCAGATATTGAGAGATTAAATTGTGAAATAGAGGAATTGCAGCAGGCAGTCAATAAGCTAACCAAGGAACTGGAGACCGAACAGCATCAGCTGTGGAATGAGGAATTAAAATATGCTAGAGGAAAAGAAGCGGTATGTGACTCTAAAACTAAAGTTAAGAAATGAAAGATTATCTCTACCCTACAATGGTTTTAAATACTGTTGCTGCTATTCATCAAAAACAATTAAATGGCAGGTCTTAATTCTGATGGTAGAACAATGATTGTCACTTAGAGAGACACTTTTGTTAGGCTGAGGATGTGATATTAACAATTTTGTATTTACTCCTTGCAAAGGAAGCAGGTGCGGAACATGGACAACTTTTGTTCCTTGGGAAGATTTCAGTGTTGCATATTCTTATTTATGGTTGCTGGCACTAAGCACCTCTGTAAACTATGATCCTGGCACTAGTTGAATAACTGTTTTTTAAATCATACCTTGAAATACAAGACAGGCAGTATTTTTATGTCCAAGTGTGAAACGTACATTTGAGAAAACAACCCAATGTATTTGAAAGCAACACGCAGTATTCTGAAAGATATAAACATTAATGATCCTGAAGCAATTCTAGCCTTACTCTTATATAATTTATTCACTGCAAGGTTTCAGAGATTGTTTTGCTTTATTCTTTTCCTCTTAACAGATTGAAACCAAATTGGCAAATTGCCATAAACTGGCTCGGAAACTGAAACTAATTCCTTTAAATTCAGAGAATTCTGCTGGTTTTGATATTAAATTTAATCTCGATGCAGGAGCAAATTGTCTGGCCAAGTACACAACTCAGATTCGTGTAAGTATATGTTGAAGTCTTACTGTAAATGTTCTTTTTAAAGAATAAAAGGCTTTGAAGAATTTTACCTATATGTTTTAAAATGTTTAAATGGACAAGGAACTTAAATATTAAAGTTCAAGCACAATTCATCACAGCACCTATCAGCCTTGTTTACTATGCCCAAAAATTTGCTTAAGCATAATATATCTATTGGAATATGGTGGCTATGACTGTATATGCTACCTTTAGGTAGCAGCAAGCCCATGAATACCATTTGCTAGAAACAGCAATGTGAGGTGGGGGGACAATATTCTCCTTCTGGTTCTGTTTGTGGGCTTCGCACCAACATCTGACTGCCTTCTGTAGGAAACAAGATGTTCACTAGGTGGGTCTTTGGTCTCATTCAGAACACCTCTATGTTTGCTTTTGTGTGTATTTTTTAACAAGTACAGTATAACAAGATTCTCCAAGGAGGTTTCATGTGCTTTAAACAGACCTCCCTAAAGTGTAGTCAGTCTGCTGTTCAGAATGTTGATTAGTGATTTGGTTGAATGGGAGATCTCCTGTCAGTTTATGGAAAAGTCTCATTCAGTCTGAATTCTTCTTTTAGAATGTTTAATTTCTAAAAAAAATTAAAAAAACACAGTAATTGCACCTCTGAATACACACATTTTTTATTTTTTTTCTTCTGTGATATTCATTATGATCATGTCAGGCTCACCTTGCACACCTTATGAGCAAAACTGAAGAAGAAATTGTTAATGCTACAAAGAAAAAAATGGCTTTAGAGGACGCTTCAGAACAAGTGAGTGCTTAATACCTTGGCCCTGCTGCACAATCCACTATTAATGCAAAGCATATGTATAACCATGATTTTATGCAAAACATACATAAGCACAGGTAGCTAGTTGGAAAGAAAAGGGAATCGCTGATAATAGATTAAAGAAGGAGTTAGTGAGGGCTTTGAAGCCTTCCCTAGTTGTGTTCTGACCTCAGGCTGCAGCCTGCACATTTTCAATCTCTACTTAGTATAAAGGCGATATAATTTGTAAGAGTGCATATTTTTGAGAGGGGAACGCTGACAAGATGCTTGATTTCAAATTTGTGAAAAAGTATGCGGGGACTGATCTTTGGCTGCCACCACTGCAGATACAGACTCGAAAGAAAAAGTCTAAATCAAGAGACACAAACTATTTTGTGTCTTTTCACTGTTTTATTAATTAAATGTGTATTATTTAAGGTAAGCACAATGGAAACAGAAAAAAATGGCAATCTCAAAATACTAAGAGAAGAAGCCCAAAAACTGGAAGATCTTTGTCAGCAGAAAATGAAGGTAGGTGACATGCTTGTCTACCCATCGTAAATATATGTAAATAAGTACTTCTAAATAAATATTTTCAAGGTAATTACTGGGAGAGAGAATGTTCTGCTTTTAAGAAAAGTTATCAGGAAATGAGTAACTGCTTTTTCAATTGACAGGTTTTGCTAGAAAGTACAAAATAAAATTGTGTGTAAAGGACAGGTGCTTCCCTTTGACTCTTCACTGGAAAATACCATAATGATTGAAAAGAAAAAAGATGGAATAAGCAGTGGGAAAACATGGGATGATTGAAAATGGAAGGCAACATCTGAATCCTGAGTAAAATTCTGTGAATAAGGCAAGGCAATCACACCATGAAAGCCTTGTCTGAAAGCATCTACAACATACAACAAGCATCCTCACATCCCACATCTATCTGCAACTTCAATGGGAGCTACTGTCAATCAGCATAAGAATATGTATAACTTATTTTGCCAAGACTGACAGAAGGCCATTGTATTATATGTATAATTCCATTTCCTCTTTTAATATGTGGAGTCTATGTACACTTACTAGAAACATAATCCCATTAGCATGTTATGAAAAATTAATTCATATATCTTTCACAGGAAGTTGAGGAAAAAGAGGAGAAAGGTAACAAAGAGTTGGAATTGTTGGAGAAACATAAATGTATGCTTTCTGGTGGAGTCGATGAAGGTGTCAGTGAAGCTATGGAAGAGCTATATGAATTGCAGTGCCGGTAAATTTTTTAAATTGATATTTTCTGAAATACAAAAACTTTGTATATGAGTTATATATGTTTTGTCTTAACTGACTTTATTATTGTCTTCTTTTAACTAGATATAGGCTGGATTAATATAGAAATGTAATAAATAATAATAATATACCACAACAACCCTTTGTGGGTAATAACTAAACCAATTCTCATACAGTGGCTTGTGTATGGGCCACAAGCCACCCCAGCAACCCATTGCTTGTTCTGGGGGGGGGGGGGTGTTCTATCTACAATGGATTTTTGCGTCATCCAAACCTGAACAGCCAACCCCATTATGGGCACAGGAAATCGGCTAGCAAGCCTTTTGACAAGAACAGCAACATATCCTTACTGCCCATGTCATGGTTCACTTTGGCAAACACCAGTAGCAGTCATCCCCAAGGTGCCCAACTTGCAGTGGGGAGCAGCTGACAGAGTCTCCCTCCCCCCCCCCGCCCCATGATTGTGAATTGTTGGGGCTTAGCATAGCATTTTTGGCTGTTACTTTCCTATCCCCCTTTGGGAATCAGAAAAACTGTCGGTAAAGCTGGCTTTCCTAATCCCCATTTTGACAGCTATGGGAAAGTCCCTCCAAAGTAGGGTTGGGATGAATGCTTTCAGAATCCCTCCCTCTAACATCCTGTGGCCTTCCTTTGTGCTTGGCCCAGTCCTGCAAAGCGAGCCAAAGCAAGAGGAAGTCCATGAATGCCTGTGTACTTCTGGTTGTGCAGTCAGCAACCTTCCCCATCGGGAAGAATGCAGAAGGAGGATACACTGCTGGAGGCAGCAGGCACAGATGAGGAGTCCTGCATGGGGTTCAATTCCTTGTAAAATCTCTACCAACAGTGGACATGCTTGCTAGAAATTCAGACTCTGGGCTGCTGCAAAGTGGCCCAGAGTCCAAAGAGCCAAGACCAAGAAATCCAACAGATTCCCACTCACAGATTCTTTGCACATCCCTGCTCCAAAGTGCCCCATGGGGGTTCTGGACTGAAACACACACAAGTATATATTACAATCCAACACTACCAAGTTCCCACTCAAAATTCCCTTTTTAATAGTTTTGACAACTGACAATTAAATTTTGACAATTTTCAGGTTGTAAGCCGTCCCAAGATGCTGAGGCATGTGGTGACGGCATATAAAAGTTTTAAATAAATAAAAAACTGTTAAAATGCCTTTTCTGTTGAAAGAAAGAGTAATCATATTTATACTTTTCCAGGCACCTAGAAGTTCATGAAAATTGTTCCTATAAGACTTAGTATGCTATATAAGTTTACTAATAAAGTTTAAAATATTCTACCTGCTAGGAACTGTAGTGGGGTAACAGATTGGCAATGATCTTGCTGTGAAGGGGATTTAAAATGCTCTTCAAAACCCTTCTCATAGCTAAAAGTCATTGTGCCTTTAGTTTTTGTTTACAGCTTACATTCAGATAACTGTCAAGAAAAAAAGCAGGGGAGAAAATGTATCTGAAGCCTCTTCTGGGCAATTTCTAAGGTTGATTCCTGCTACCCTCTGGCAGAAGGCTCTGGCCTTTATATTCTCATAGCTGAGGCTTGAAACCCCTTCAGTAACTCAAGTGTAATCATTCACAAATCATTTACAGTCACACAACTGCCAAGAACCAAAACAGAAAACCTGGACAAGACCCTCCAAAGGGTGGCTTGGCTACTTTGGAAGAGCTGGTTTTACCTGTCAAAAAGATCAGGAAAAATAGAATAGAAAGCAAAAAATACCGTGGCATACACAGAATGGCTCACAATCACAGAAGGGCATGGGAATACTTGTTCCTCCCGCAATGTCTCTTTGGTTACCTGCAAGAAGAGCTAGTGTGGGGGAGGACAACAGCACATTGTCTTGTCTTGGGGCTCATTGTGGGCTGTCTTACACACAACCAAGTCACTGTGGCTTATTGTCAGAGTGAGTTAGCCTGATGGGTGAATGCACCAATGAATTTTAAAAATTATGGTAACATTCCTCTAAACTCCACAAAACTTGTAAAGTAATTGTATTGAACAATTATTGTGATGTATTTACCTCCCAGATTTCAAGTGGTTATGCAGACAACATCGGAAGAGAGCAGGAAAGTGCACAAAAATTTACAACATCTTCTAGAACTAATATTTACTCATCTTGAGTCTGTAGAGGTAACCCATGCTATATTAGATAAAACTATCATTTTTGATTTTGAGAACTCAAAGCAGCCTTGATCTGTGATACTTCAAATGCTTAGTTTTTCATGAGAAAATGTGTTGTTTCATATAGGGGTGGGCAAAAAGTAGGTAGATGTTTTGTTCTCCAATTCTCGACATTCCTGACAAGTGCTTCTGAGATCTGGAGATCTCTGTTCTGTCCATCCCTAGTTTTACCCAGAAGGAACAGAGGTTTGTAGTACAGCATAAGGTTTGCATACAGAAAGTACCAGGTTCAATCTCTGACCTCTCCGGTTGCACATCAGACACTGCTCTTGCTGATCAGAATAGATCAGTGTTCCGATTCAATATGATGCAGTGTTATGGATTTACTCTAAATGTGGAAAAATACTTAACTTTTTATCCTTCTGTTCTCATATACATGCTGAAATATCAACTGTCTTGTATCTTATAACCTAGAATATGGAGTATTTAAGGCTCATAGGTGGATGGTTTTTAATTTTAGGGGTTTTTTCCCTGGTTTAGTTTTCTGCCTCCAGCACCCATTGGTAGGGAGATACAGGGGAAGCACTAATATGTAGACAGGATTTTCGGTAAAAATGGTCATAACACTTATTTGTTGTAGCTTACATAGCTTTGCCATGGCACAAGGCCTGGATTTTACCATCAAGCAGTCCAGCTGCTGAGGCTACAACTTTAGTCTCAGGTCCATCCATCAGTAACCACCATATGTTCAGCACCCAAGGCTTCAGTACCTCTTGAGAGGGTAGGAAGAACTACAACAGTGATAGCCAGTACCATTTGTAGGGTTATATTATAAGCTGGAGGACCAGACCAGAGAAAGAATACTTTACCTGGACAACTTGAGAGGAAAAGAGCTTGCAGGAGGGAGGTTAAGTCACTGTGAAGAGCCTGATAGTCAGGCATATCCATGCAAAAAACTGCAAAGTCTGGAAACCATGCAGAATTTCTTGCCATGACACATGAACCTTAATTCATAATTTTATCCTTTGTTTTATACAAATGTTAAATGTTACAGATAAGTCAACTGTTTACAGCTGTGCTTTACAATGAATCTGTTAAAATGTAAGGCTTTCTGTATTGAAATTATATTCAAGTTATTTCAGCTATTAAAATTTAAGCTGAAATTTGAAACACAAACTGAAACCATGCAATAATCTTACCTATTATATTTTTTTTAGAAGTACCTGATTGAACAGAATGCAAACATTGATAGAGAATTCCATGAATTTATGTTGGAAGATCCATTGGCTAACTTGAGAGAAATCCTAGACAGTTACAAAAAGAAGGCCAATGCTTTGTATGTCTCAAAGAATGAAAATGTTGCCTATATATTGAAGTAAACATTTCTTATATATTTAACCTTGGTTTATTTCCATAAACATCTTTATATTATGTGTATTTCATATGTGAGAAATATTTGAAAGTAAAATAAAGAACCTCCTTATGGCTGTTAATAAATCCAAATATAACTACTGTTTAAAATCCATGCCTGCCAGGTCAATATCTCAGTTTGAATGAGGTAATGTTTCAGTCACTTGGAGTTGTAACTAATGTCAGTTTACCTTCTCGCTCATTTAAATAGGACTAGTACTTGATATAGCCCATAGTGCCATCTGTGTATGGACATGTGAATGCATGGAACTGGATCAGGGCCATGATGGGCTTGAAATTGGCAGACTGGACTTCTCACTTCACCCAAGTTTAGAAAACAGGCATATCATAGTTTTACATATAAAGAAAGCTTAAGTACAGCAACAGTGGAGCTAACAATTACTATATTTTGCATAGACAATAGTCTGTCATTGTTTCTTGAAAAAAAAGTCCAAGTCATGCATTAGATATGTGTAGGACACTTATTTGTAAGTGGAAATGAAGCTACGGCTAACCCAGTTCCATCATCTAACCCTGAATGAATAGATATTTGAAAATGACCCCACAACTGCTTAGACATGGGGGTTTCTTTTACAGAAACCTGCTCAGTCCACAAATGTAAGAACTTTTCTGAATGTTGGTTCTGATTTTTTCATGACTGTAAGTGGCTCCAAGGGTATCTGCCAGTTTAGAGCAGTGCCAGCAACACCATGCCATTCCTGCCTCAATATATCATTGCCTTATATTTATACCCCATTGGTAAACTCGAGACTACTTTTCTAAAGATTTGATTAATGGGTTGAAAAAAATACACTTTTGTTGGGTTGAAAAAAATACACTTTTCCTGATATTTCAACATAAGTTCTGTGAAGAACTTAAATTTTAGCATGGAATTTTTGATACTTGCAGAGTTCATTGACCTGGTCAAGTGTAACATATTAGCTTCTTCTATTGTTGTTGAATTTACATACAGCCCTGATAGATGCATTTGGAACCACTTACAATCATTTAAAAATCATTTAAAAATCAATGATACATTTAGACTGTATTAAATAGCCAGCAGTGAAATTAGTAATTATAGCGATAGATAATGTTTAAATGCTTACTGGAAAAGGAAGGATTTAACCCTGCATCTAAATGTGTACAGTCAAGATGCCAAGCAGACACCAGGATCTTCTGGGAACAGCATTCCATAGACAAGAGGAACACTATAGAAAAGAAAAAGCTCTTTTCCTGGTAGTCACCCATCATATTGTGGGTAGCAGCAGTGGCCACACCAAGAAAATACCCTCTGAAGATGATCTTAGCAATGAGGCAGGAACATTTAGTCTAGTAAACCAAGCCCCAGGCTTTTACTGAAATGCAAAAAGTTGAGTTTCAGTTGTCAAAGAGATTATTATACAATGAACACTTCTCAGACACCTGAGTAATCTGTATACAAGAAACCTAGTCCATGAAAATGTATCTGAAATTTTCTTTGCTATTGCATTTCCTTTTGAAAACAGATTATTTTCTTTTGGGGGGAAAAGATTGAAAAAATAGGTAAGACATTTTGGCACCACACTTGATACAGCATGCCAGAGCTGGGGAGTGACAGCAACCTGTTGGAAGGCTATTCTGTTAACAAGAAACCCCATTTAACAGTTTAGTCTTTGGTGCATGCCATTGCAGTTAGGTGGCTGGAAAAATGTGGGGATTCTGCTGGTATACTATCCACCCCGTGGTTCAGCAGAATTTCTGGGTATCTGGAGCAGTAAAGATCACCCCGTGTACCCAACCCTTATTTTCTTGGCTGATTAAATCAGCCAAGATAGGGCTGATAGCATGCCTAATTAATGTCTCTTTGCTAAGAGAGTTATTCCCCTTTGTTTAAAAAAAGGCAATTTATTAAATACTATTTCATTTGATAAAGGAGATCTAATTTACCATGCTTGCTTAAGGTAATTGAAAAGAAAGTGCATTGCAACTCTAGGTGTATTTAACTGAAACCAATTACTTTTACTCATTTTAATCAGACTGCTTTTGTTACCTTGGTGGATGACATGTGCCAGGAACTGGAAGCATGACCCAATAATTCTTTTGAATGTTTCAGCAGCTTTTGATACCATCTACCATGACATCCTTCTGGACAATTGGGGTGGGGACAGAGTGGGTCTTGGAGTACTGATTTGTGGCGACTCCAGTTCTTTCTGCCAGGCTATGTCCAGGAAGTGATGCTGAAGGCAGGGAGTACTGTTTGAAACCACAGTGGCTAGCCTGTATCTCACAGGGTTTTATCTCATCTCCCATGCTGTTTAATACCTACCTGAAACAGCTGGGGAGAGGCCACTTGGAGTAATATGTCAGCAATATCCTGATGATACCCCGCTCTTGCTCCTTTTCACCTCACACCAAGAAAACAAGCAGCTGAAACTTAAACACAACCTCAGTTGAATGAAGAGGCTGAAATGAACCCTAGGCAAGGCATATGTGGTATTGACCATTAGAAAGCTTGTCCTGTAGACTAGAATTCAATCAGTTCTGCAAAGGTTTATGCTACCCCTGGCAGATTAGGTCCATAACTTGAGAATGTGCCTTGATCTCATGCTGTCCCTGGATCTTTAGGTGGCAGTGGTTGCAAGGAATTTACTGACAAAATTACGCTTAGTACATTAGCTGTGACTCTTCCTGAATCAGTCTGACTTGGCAACAGTTATCCATTCCTTGACTACATTGTGTTTAGACTCTTGCAATATGGTCTCTGGCGGCTATCCCAGAAGAGTGTGCAGAACCTTCCATTGGTGCAGAAAGCAATACTTCAGATGCTAACTGGTCTGCAGTATTGACAGCATATTACACCTTCGATTGCCAGTTGCTTTCTAGGCTGTGTTCAGGGTGTTGAACTTAATCTTTAAAGCCCTAGGTGGCTTATGACCTGACTAAGGAACTATAATATCCCTGAACTAAGATATGCAGGAAAGGGACTTTTGAAGACATGATTACCCACAAAGCCTTTTACGAGGCACACATGAAAGAGATTTCTTCTGTATAGCCCCAAATACAGTGCCAACTATGGAGGGCACCCCTCAAAAACCTTCATTGCTCTCCACATCCTTGACATTTAGAATGGATGTAATGATGCATCTTTTCAATTTCATCTTTTACACTGTGTAGTTTTTAATGTTCTTAGCTGTTTTTAATATTCTTGCAGAGTATAATTGCCTTAATGTTGTAATATTGTAATGTCATGACTTTTTAATCTGCTAAATATGTAAATAAATAATTTTTGCCTGCATATAAAGGTGAAGTTACTTTTTTTTTCATGTGTGGTATGTTTGAGGTAAACAATTTACTGTCATGGTTTTCAGTTCCAGAACAACACATGATGGCAACACACTTCATAGAATGAGTAGATTTAACATGTTTTGATCAACATTATCACCTACCCACTGAAAAACAGGCTTTGAGTATAGCGTGTGCTATTCATTGCAGCAGACTGAAAAAACAAAGGCACTTCATTGAAAGTGAATTGGCAAAATCTATATGAGCTGGTACATTGAGACCATGAAGAACTGGGCAATGATAACATTTCCTGAAGGTTCTTGTACTTTCCCAATTGCCAGCTTCACAGTACTTCCCTTGTGTGGAATAATAATATCAAGAAAGTACCAGGATGAAGAACCTTCCTATAAAAATCAATATTCTCTTGCTACAATGCTTTCTTCTATTGATCTGATTTCTGAGGTTGATTAATAAAAATGTGGTTATCTTGGTAAGTGATTAAATTCCTTTCAAACAGTCTAAATGAAACTATGCTAATTTGCAGTTTCTCAGTCTCTGGATCATATAGTTTTCAGAGTTTATGATGATCAGACAGAATTTCAGCTATTGTCTTTTCCATAAGATGTGTATGGATGAGGACATGCATCCTCTTGCATTATAAATTTCTTTGAGTGTTTCTTCAATTTGTGTATTTTCTACTGTTTCTGTTCTTTCTCTATGATAACAGACTTCTGCATGACACACACAGGTATATCTTGTTTATGCCATCATCATGTCTGGACTGAATCTCAGTTTATTGGCCCTCAACTGAGACCCATAGTATCCTTCTGGAGTGGCTAGTGGCGTTGGGAGTCAGAGGCAACACATTGTGCTGACTCCACTCCTGCCTGGCAGACTGTCTCCAGATATGATTCTAGGGGATTATCGCTCCACATCATGACATTTATGTCATGGAGTACTGCAGAGTGGTTCCTCAAATTCCCTCCAGCATTCAAAAAATGTTTTAGGGGCAGTACTGTGCAGCCTCACCACGTGTGCTAGTCACACATTTGATGTCTGTGGAAAAGAGATCCAATGGACTTTTGGATGCATACAAGTAGAGTTTTTCCTTGACAAGGAAGATCTTGACTGGAATAGGATCCCATATTGCATAAAGGAGTTCTACCCATCTCATGTCAGTAATACAGTTAAAATACATGCTTTTAGGCACACACTCATGCTGGAGGGGATAGGACTACATGGCACAGTTCTGTAACTCCTTTATGTGTTCTTCCATTTTGTGAAGGATTCAACACACCCCTTCCCCTGCTGCCATGTTTCTGGGTTGCAATTTCTTTCCTCTCTAGAAATCCTGTCCTTAATTATTTCAAAGCTGTACATAAATATAGGAATTCAAATGCATTAAAAAGTCACCCACACAAGCTCCACTTCATAAACAAAATATTGTGCTTTTATTTATAATAGATTATTTAAGAACTCTGGAATGCCAACTTTCTCAGCCCTGGATACTTATTTCTAAGCAAAAAATATTAACTCTCTTTTGCACATGAACAGTAAATGCAGAAAAAGGGCAGTACATGATAAGCCACAGCAGAAACAAAATGTTGTGCTATAGTAAGTAATATATGTGAGATATCTTGAGCCTAGAATGCTCATAGGTGCTGGGCCACAGTCCAGGTAGCCCATATTATCTTCTGCCTGCCACTCTGGTTTTTATAAGATACTGTAGCTCTTTTAAGGAGTCTTGCAACAAAATGACTGTTTTGATTGCAGAATGTCAAAATTGACAAAAAGCAAATCCTTGCTAGATGTGAAGATTGCTAGATTCTGGAATAAATTTGTTCATGCTTTGCTGCTTTTGAATTGTTATCCTATTTTTGTGTCCATGCTCTGTGCTGTCCATGGTTAGCTAAAGTTATATTTTCAACCAGATGTTGTCTACTATACTGAACTGTAGTTCATTTCCTAAGAAACTTTGATAATTTGTATCAAGTTCGTCTCCCTAATGGTTAAGAAGTCCAGTAAGACTTTAAATTAAGACAAGCTTTCACAATGACAATGAAAAGCACTTGTGCTTCACATATCCAAGGCTTTCTCGAGATACCTAATACTTCTTTTGTTC